CCCTGGGCGGCGCGTTCACTTTCTAGCGGCCTCTATTTCTGGTCTTTGCGATGTCAGCCCACCGCTCAGGGGGTCGGATTTCAGGTGCCAGCACTGTAGTTGAAACGCCCTGTAGATACAGTCATGTAGATCTACAACGGAGCTAGCTGCGCGTATACGCGTATGCGACAACCAGTTACCTGCGATGCAGCAAACACTCTCGATCGATCGCACCCTGTAAGAAGACCGTAAAAGGTCTGTTGGGAATGCCCAAGTAAAATAATAAAATACAATACAATACAATACATGTACAATACAAAAAATCGCATCATACATGGGGGGGGGGGGGTTATTGGATCACAGTCATCATGTCCTTTGATCGACTCTCTCGTCGTGCGCGTCGCAGATGTAGAAGTGATATTTCTGCGTGGCGCCGGCGATAGGGTGAAGAGTATTTTTTTTAGAAAATTGCTTTGTAAAAAGTAAGTAATTAAGGTGGCTCACACCCTCTGCGCGCGCATCGTTTGAAAAGTGTAGATTTTCAGTAAATTTTTCGGTAGCGATGATTTTTGTGCGATCAATCGTTGTAGGAATTTGGAATTGGAAACGTCTTCTCGCTTTTCTGCAATTCTGGCGACCTAGCTAGAACCTGCTGCTACTGTGCTAGTGTCCCTCTTCACTCGTTCTTTCTATGAAAGGGGAAGGCAGCACTCGCAGAAGATTTTCCAAGAATGCAATGTCGACTGGTGCTCGTACTATAAGAAGGGAGAAATCAAAGTCCGCTCTTGAATCACGCCTGAGTCGAAAATTATTTCAGAATACGCTTGTGTAGATTTCCTGCCAGTGCCACTGACATCTCGCGACCTTCAAATATAACTTGCTCGATCATCTCCCGCACTGACTGGTAAATTCGTCGGGTAGCTGTGGATGGATCGATTCAGGGAGATCGAAGGTAAATACATCGAAGCACTTCAAACACGTTTCAAGACGCACTTCAAATTTTGTAATTGTGTCTTGAAAATTGTTTACAACAATTCGTACTTCAATACGCTGTTGAATTGTATCCTCTGCTTGGGAGTCTCGACTGGTTTATTGCTGTATGGCTTTCCTCAACACCGTTCACTGTACATGTATCGCGGAACGCAGATTGGATGGCATTGGAGGTGAATTTGATAATTTGTGACTGTGTCATCAACCAAGTGAGGACATCAAATATCAACAGGGACGTTCCGAAAATCACAAACGCTGCGAAATAGGTATGAAATGGTCTTACACACTGGTGGGTATTCCACATTCATTGTGTCATATCTTTAGACTGTTCGAAAGTTTGTCGTGCCGTGCAACTTTCACGGACTAATCCGATAATTGGCATGTGGCCCTATCGGCGCACACTAATGCGTATGCCGCTGAGTCTATCTATATGTGCACGCACATGTGTGTATACTTACACAATTTTATTACGGATGCAAAATTAGGCAATCTACATGTATATGTGTGTGCACTCACTCCTATGCCATAGGCTATGTAGAGTCGCACGAATGTGTGTTACCCGGGTGTGTATATGCATGCGCACTCGCGCGGGCGTTTTGTGTGCGCGCCTGGCATGGCATAACGCCGTTCAATATGACTAGTGTTGAACCGTGGTAATTTGCCCCGCCCCTTCTTTTTTCTATTGGCGTTGCATATGCAACTAATGACATAAACTCGGTTGTTGAAAACGAGTGCCATGCACCACAATGGATTGACAATAATATAATACAAGTAGCGCTGGTAATACTCATGTTGCAACCATGGCAGTTGTGATTAGCTTTCCAAGTCAAGCCTGCTGCAGAAATTATTGCACTCTGACCAGCTGGAGTGGCCCAGGACTGCAGGTTGTGGAGAACAGGAGTGATGCTTGTATATACGCTTGTATTTACATGATGGACTTCGAAGTAACGTTATGTGTATTACTTGTATGTTCTTCTGCCTGTGCACATGTACATGTGCTAGTCAGTGTGGAACCGCCATCCATATCAGATCATACAGCTCAGCTGCTATCAGTCTCAACAGCTTATATCTGGCAAATAGGGTTTTAGTGACTCAATTTTGCTTACTGTGTTCAACAGAGTGGCATTGCACACAGCTACTTTATGTAATAGTAGCATCTTGGAAATTTTATATTTTTGGTAGTTAGCTTCAGTAGAAACTTCTCCAGTGTGGCTCTTAGCTTCATTACCATGGAGACTAAGCATTCAAGTAATGCACGAAGAACAGTGGCTAGATGCGAAGTGAAAAGCCATTGGACCGTACCCAATGGACTACGCATTTAGTATAGCAGTATTGGTTGCTATGTTGGCAGCAAACACTGTAGAATATAATAATTGCATTACCAGTAGAAAGTGCCCAATGTGCATTGCTTCAGCACTGTGTTTGGACAAAGCAGTCAAAAAAATCCACATCAGTATTGGCTTCATGTTGGAGAAAGTTGTGAAAAACACTAGAGCATACATGTACACTCAATACACATGCTCAGCTACATGTATGGCATTTAGTATGTGGGCGACTTCAAAGTTCTATTTTGGTAGTTAGCTTCGGTAGAAACTGTCTAAACTTGATCCAAAGCTCTACTACTATGTTCTGAAGATGTTGCAATCAAGTAATGTAAGACACGTATCTGCCGCATTGGAGCTAGTTGTGAAAACCTTTAGACCATACACACAATGCACATGCTCAGCTATGGCATTTAGTATGTGGGCGACTTCAAAGTTCTATTTCGGTAGTTAGCTTCGGTGGAAACTGCTAAAACTTGATCCAAAGCTCTACTACTATGTTCTGAAGATGTTGCAATCAAGTAATGTAAGACACGTATCTGCCGTATTGGAGCTAGTTGTGAAAACCTTTAGACCATACACTCAATGCACATGCTCAGCTATTGCATTTAGTATGTGGGCGACTTCAAAGTTTTATTTTGGTAGTTAGCTTCGGTGGAAACTGCTAAAACTTGATCCAAAGCTCTACTACTATGTTCGGAAGATGTTGCAATCAATTATTGCAAGATACGTATCTGTCATATGGTGGAGTCAGGGGTTCTAAGGCGTTGGACAATGTCCCAGTGCAATGTGCTGATTCTTGAAAATATGGCATCACTTGACACTTCAAAGTTTTATTTCAAGAGTTACCTTCGGTAGAACCTGCTCAAACTTGCTACACAGTACCATTATTAGGTTATGATAGCATAACCATCGAATACAGGGCAAGTCCAGTGTCAAATACTTGTGGGCGGGGCTAATATGTGGGACGTGTGCGCTGAAATGGGATGATTCCGAAAAGAGAAAAAGGTCACCTTCTAGCAGAATTCTACCCACTTCTAAAGCTTATGCTGGTAATTCGCAAGTATACTACTGTCCTGATGTTGGACATCAAGAAAAATGGGGTAACTACGAGTGCTACGGCCAAAAAAGTGGTTTTCCGGTGTTTTTTGGCCTAAATTGGCAATTGTGAGTATGCTATGTTTGGCCCCTCCCCCGAGTGAAACCGGCCGGTAGAACTTGATAAAATTTTGTCTCCGTACACTAGATATCCTACGGAACAAAGTACAATCGTTTGTAGCCACGTTTCAAACAAAAAAAAATTGGACCCGAGGGGTAGGAGCCACCTTAAATGCGCATGCCGGCGCGGCCGTCGACGCTCGAGTGCATGCATGCAGCGAAGAAGTGGAATGATTATGTGGATATACGGATCCACTTCGCTGCACTCCACTCCGGACTCCATGCCTCCCAGGCTGTCCATGGCATGGATTGATCCAGTCCCATGGCATAGGGCCATAGAACCAAGAGAATATTTTTTGTAGAAGTAGCAATCGTTGCAGGAAGGGTTTCAGCAGTCAGGGAAGTCATAGGGCTCGGGTAGAATATTCGTTGGACTGGTACTCCTCCAGTCACGACGAAGAGTTCAAGTGTTGAGCCGATCGAATCAATGTCCTCCACCCAGGGATGTTGAAATGTCTGCCCTAGCGGTTGCTGCAGAACATGGTGAAGAAGTCGTCTGCAGTTAGAGTCGTGATGGCGATAGCGAAGAGAACCTGGATGGCATTGAAGTACAGGAACACTTTAGCTGTTTCTGGGACTCACACAGAGCGAAAACATGCAGCAGAGCATAGTTTGCAGCAACTAATTACTTCGCGAGAAAAGTCCTTGGCCTGATGATGAAGTGCTGCAGGCCTGCACGAATGCCAGGTAATTATTTTATCAGGCTAATGTAATGAGCGAGCAGATCGAGAGGGTTCCAGGACCCCCACTTTGAGACTTTCCTCGCTGGACAGCTGCATGGTGGGACTGTACCGTGTACGGCGTGCTGAGACCTCACTGGCCTGTTGCTCACTTGCTTGTCGGCAATAACAGACACTGCAGCATGCATACTGTGAACAGTGAGAAGGTTTGCCAGGCCTTGTGGCTAGGGCTGCAAAAAGCCTGCCACACACATACTAGTAGTAGTAGTGAGTGACCCACACCTGTAATAATTTTTGTTTCCTGACCTCCCATAAGCCCAGTAGATGCTGAACATGGGAAAAAGTCGCTTCGTGAAATTTTCACTGTAAAGCTGTGTTCACAACGCGGTACGCTTGCGGTTCATGTATGCCCAAACGCAGCAGGCTTTCACGCTAAACAGCAATTCGACTGGTATTTAGGGCGTGCGACGCCTTCGAGTACAGGTCGTTTGACCCCGCCAGTCGAAGTGACTGGCATGTACGCTGGTATGCGCCTGATACGCGCTGAAAATTCCAACATGTTGGAATTTCCATTTCGGCGCGTTTCCCTACTCATGGCGCTCCAAAACCCATCAAAGATATGCACAAACGCTTGGTTTCACGCGTACACGCACCAGTTGTGAACAGATTCTGGGCCATGTATTCACTGACGTCTGCTGGCACCTAGCATATGCTTCTTGTCTGACCTCTCGTTTGTATGCGTGTGCGCATGTGTGTGTGTGTGTGTGTGTGTGCGCGCGCGCGCGTGTGTGTGTGTATGTGCTGTTCGCAGCTGACCTCTCGCCCAATGTTCATTCGCTGGATGCGTCACCGGAATGCGCTGGCGAGGTGCGCCTCAGCTTTGAGCACGCCAAGTCCAAGCGAGGAGATACGCAGCATGCCGTCAAGCGTGATGTAAGTGCGACAGTCAACTTTGCGTATAACGACACTCGGCGGGGCATCAGAAAAGTGTCCTTATTCGCGAAGTGTCCTTATACCCGAAGTCTCATTATATGTATTACAGTTGAACGGGACTTTGCTCTGGGCATGGAAGTTCTGTCGTTGTTTGCGAATTGTCGTTATATCCGCAGTCGTTATTAGCAAAGTTGACTGTACTGCTGCTTTCGGAATGTGACCATCAGTGCGCTTTCATCACATGACCATACGGGGGCAGACATTTTGATCAGTGATGTCATCGGGTAGCAGGGTACGGAACCGCCGGAAGCAGTTCTTGATGGACCCATTGTGCAATGACGTAATCAGCATTATTGGAACCATAAACACCCTTCACAGCCACCTGGGCATGGTCGTCTGGGGGTGTTGAACAGTGCATTGCTGATCCCAGCGTGCTCGCAAGCATTACTCATACATTCCATATTTGGCAATGCGCAATGAGTCAATTGGTTGGCATAGTATTGCGTGTATATGTCTGTGTGTGTGAACACGTCCGTGCATTGTTGTGTTGTATGTGTAATATGTATGTATAGGCTTCGTCACCAGTGATTGGCGTATCGTTTAAGCCCAAGGATGCGGCCGAGGACGACCCCGAAATGCACAAGGAGTTCTCTGGATCCTCCAGCGGATCTTCGTCTCTCTCCCTTCTCATCAAGTGAGTTGCTAGGAATCGTTATGGCCAACGGAGATTTAAAAAAATAAAGTAAATGATCGTGTCCACGAAGGGAATTCACAACGGCCGCTAAGGCCCCGGTCACACATGCACTTTTTTTGGCGGTTCCGCCAAAGCGTAACTTACGCTTCCGCCGTTGCCTCGGCAACGGCGGAGGCGTAAGTTACGCTTTGGCGGAAAGTTTGGATTTCGCTACGCCAAAAAAATGCGAGCGGACCCTCCGCTTTCGCGGATCCGCTTTGGCGGAACCTGCATGGTGATGGCTTTGGAGTTTGGTGTGCTACTTCTGCACTGAGTTCTGGTGTTGTTTGGTTGCCGTTTGGTATTGAGTTTTCATATTATTCTTCTTTGCCAATGAACTGTACGTTCTGGAGATCTCGCAAGCAATACTGCATCGTTATGAGTGGATAGTTGGTGAGGGAATAACTCCGAATCCGTCTCCCAACGAGTCATTGGCCCCGATCGCGGACGATCTCCAACTCTCTCCTTCTCTCTCCAAGCAATACGTCCACAAGAGTATGCAACACTAGGACTGCAACCAGGGAGTAGTAGAGTACTCTGCCACACCCTCACTGCAGCTGCAGGCATCCACGCAGTCGCTGGGTCGATGATGGATCATGGAGGAGGCAACGACACCCTGCTATAAAACTATTTGAATTTGATATTGATGTAAACTAAACTAATATTCAAATACACCCGTGCTGGGCCGCAGTGAATGTGCCCCAAATCCACGAGTGTACTTGACATGAGACATTCAGCAGCCTGTCAGCGATCCACGATAGCTCTACTTGTACAAGCGAAGGTCGCTTCAACTCGGACAAGAACATCTAAAATTTCATAGGACGTGCTGCATTTGCATTCTCTCCGCCAAAGCGGAGCGTTGAGGAGCACAGTAGTCTACATGTATGTGTGACCGCTGCATCGTGTGGTCCGCCAAAGCGGCTGCGGTAGTTCCGCTTTCCGCCTCCGCAAAAGCGGTGCAAGCTTTTCATGTGTGACCGCGGCCTAAGATGCTGTAAGCCCTAGCGGCAGATCCAACAGTGATACATGTACTGTGAAACCTGTCTAAGGCGACTGCTCAAGGGACAGTAAAAGTGTGGTCTCTATTGCCAGGTGGTCTCCGTATCCAGGGTCATTTGACTGCTAATAGCATCCCTTGATCCTGGTTGCAGTGGTCTTCCAGGACAGGTGGTCACCTTGTCCGAGTGGTCGCCTTGACAGGTTTTATTGTAGACGAGGTCAGCTGGTGTTTTTGGTGTACGCATGGAGATGTGCAGCAGCTCCATTGTGTGGTATGAGCGGAGGATAACATGTCTGCTTATGGGTAAAGCTATGAGTCAGCACTGTGCAGTACAAATCCCCTAACCCAGTCACCGCTAATCGGGGCAGGTCTGTCCACCGGGCACATGTATACGTCCCCATCCGCGAGTTGCACACTCTCGTTTACTATCTACTCCTGGTGACGTGCATATAGCAGTTGCATGCAGCGCCTGTGTTTGAAGGTAGATGGCTTCTAGACCATAGGCCTAGATTGTTGCTTCTCGAAGGCAGGCTCCACGTATGGTATTACCTAGCGCCTCTCTCTCTCTTCCTCTTCTCTCTCTCTCTCTCTCTCTCTCTCTCTCTCTCTCTCTCTCTCTCTCTCTCTCTCTCTCTCTCTCTCCAGGGGTCTTGCTCCAGGAAAGACCTACCAGTTCCGCCTCCGCCATGGCCAGCGCTCTGACGATGCCACCGAGTGGGGAGAGTTCAGCAGCAGTGTGGAGTCTTCCAGCGGCACAGTGAATGCTGAGTCAGGTGAGAAGATTGCACGCTATCCCCAGCAGTAACGCAATGTTGGCATCAAGCAACTCAATCTGCTCCTGCAGCGCTCACCCTCTCCTATACTTGTAAAAAATCACAATGACATAAATTACTTTCCCACTGCATAACCCGCAGCCCCACCCACAGCACCTCGCCTTCTCATAAACTCATCTCTTATTGGCGATGGTGACATCGTGAGAATAAAGAATTGAAATTCAAAGTACACTCATATATCTCTTATGCGGACCTCGGAGTTACCGGCAACATGGTCTACCGGGAAGCCTGTGGATGAGTTTTAGTGGACATTTTACTACTCTTCTGCCCTTTTTTGTGTGGAAATCTTACTACTCGTCTGCCCTTTTTTGTGGAAATAGTTATGTCATATGCCAGATCTCTGGACCTTGCCCATCGAAATGTATGCGAATGACGCCGAATCAGTAAGTTGCCGACATTTCAAAGTTCAGTGTCAGCGCCCGGTGGTCCCTGACTGACCATCCCCTGAACGCCAAAAATCACACCTCGGAGGAGTACAAAAATTACAACTCTCAGATGTCCTCGATTGCTGGCCATGATGATCCCCTGAACGCCCAGATAGGAGAGATTTGAGTGTAGCATGAAGCTGACCAGATGCAAAAGGTTTGTGGTCCTGATTTCAGCATGACAGAGCATACAACACCGCAGTCGTGCTGTGGATATATCGACCTCGGCTCGAACAAGGCATTGCGCAGTTTTACTTGTCGATTCCAGCACTGTGATACTAGTAAATCCACAAAATAAATTTCCAGTTGGCGGAAAAGCGCGAGCTCCAGGGGGGAGCAAACTCAAATAATTAAATTATTTGATAGGAAAGTGTTCTTTTTGTGATCAGTTTACGGACTGCGACTGTGTGAACACATCTTGGTATATTATTTATATTTTTATTCTTATTCTTATTTTACTAGGGAATTCCCAACAGGCGTCATCGCCTTCTTACAGGGAACCCTAAGAACGTCTTGGTATATACGCTGTGTACGCTGTGTACACTGTGTAATATGTGACTGTGTTCATGCATCTTGGTATATACGCTGTGTACGCCGTGTGAACTGTGACTGTGTGAATCTTGGTATACGGTGAAACCTGTCTAAGACGACCGCTCAAGGGACCTTCAAAGCGCGGTCCCTGTTGCCAGGTGGTCTCCTTATCCAGGGTCATTTGACTGGAAATAGCATCCCTTGGTCCTGATTTCGTTGGTCTTCTAGGACAGGTGGTCGCCTTATCCGAGTGGTCGCCTTGACAGGTTTATACGCTGTGTACCCTCTGAAATCTGTGACCGCGTGAATACATCTCGGTATGCGCTGCATGGATGTGGCAAATGGGATTTAGGCCTTTGGCCTGTGGTTGGTGGATCTGATTTATCCTCCCCCACCGTTTAGGAGCCGCATCTGACGCGTGATCATGGGGTGGTGGCGTCCCACGGAAGCGGAAAGGTGGTTCTTGGCCAGGGAGTTGTACGACTCCTTGTTCTTGACCCAATGCGCTGTGTATGCTGTGACTGTGTGCATCCATCTTGGTATATACTGTAAATATACAAATTTTCGGCAGCTATTTAATTTCGGCTATATTCGGCACCGACCCAAAACGCCTAAATTAAAACGCCGATGAAATTTTTCACAGCATCTGTCGCACTATACCATGCCCTCTACCCCACGCCGAAATGTCAAAAATCGTGAAGTGCCGAAATTTTGCAGCGCCGAAATTTTGTATATTTACAGTACGCTGTGTACCCTGTGTGTACGGTGTGCAGGCCCGGCTGGTGTTGGCGAGGCGTCGCGTAACTTCTGCCAGTCTCGTCGCCGTGCCACCAAGGTGCCGTCGCGTCCCAAGTCCTCGTCGCGCGTCCACCGCTCCACGTTTGCCAGCAGCAGTCGCCGCCGTCGTACCTACACGTACATCTACTATGATTACGGCTATTATACCTACTACTACACATACTACTACTACAGCGGGTGAGAGCACTGCACTGTGATGTTGTTCTTCAATAGCTGGGCGGGGGGGGGGGGGGGGTACTACTACATGTACACCTACTACTACACATACTACTACTACAGCGGGTGAGAGCATTGCACTGTGATGTTGTTCTTCAATAGCTGGGCGGGGGGGGTGGGGACGGGGGGGGGTACTACTACATGTACACATACTACCACAGCGGGTGGGAGCATTGCATTGCATTGTGTGATGATGTTCTTCTACAGCTGGGGGGGGGGGGGGGAGGGGGTACTGGGTACCACTATACCTACTACTGCTGCTGCTGCTGCTGCTGCTGCTGCTGCTGCTGCTGCTGCTGCTGCTGCTGCTGCTGCTGCTGCTGCTGCTGCTGCTGCTGCTGCTACTACTACTACTATCGCAGCGGGTGAGAGCACTGCACTGCATTGCATTGTCCATTGCAGGGCTGCCACTTGCTCCGGTTTTTCGGAAATCGTCCGATTTTTGATCGCCTGTCGGACAAACCGACCGATTTAGTTCCCAAAGAGGGACAACTGATTATTTTATTTTGAGCGCTTTTAGTCCAGTTGGCCATTCGGCGCTTCCAGGTCGCGTTTGGCCAGTCATTGTACATGTACATGTACATGTAGCTGTAAAAATGAACGCGTGCTTGCATGTGTGTGGACAGTTAAAATGTGTTCTGGGGCCCCAACAGCAAGCCATTTTCCTGAAAAAATCACCGCGGGACCACCCCGGACCCCCGTCAGACTTTTCTCCGTCCAAGCGTGGCAACCCGGCCATTGTGTGATGATGATGTTCTTCAATAGGTGGGGGTGGGGGTGCTGTATTAAGCTCGTCACGCGAAATCACGCGTCCAGGGGCGTCGGAAGGCATTTTAGGGTGGTATGGTCAGGTCTGCATTGAGGATATATGGGAGAAGTGGTGGCCCGCCGATGCGAATGTCTTTGCTTGCTGTGTTCCTAAACACATCAGGTGATGTGGCCGCGAATCCGGCTAACTTAACTTTTTTACAGCCAGCCTTCTGAGGTATGCTCGAGGTGGGAGGGGGGGGGGGGGGGCTCTGCTGAAAAAATTGAGAGCCCAAATCAGGGCATTTTATTGATTCGCGGGTCAACTGGGGTAGTGGTACGGTCAATACCGTAGTGACCATGGCATGTCCCACATCCCTGGCATCTTCAAGTGAGCGACATCCATAAAACCTGCTCAGTGGGAGAGTACCCGTGTACTCTCCTGAGCACTTTTTTACTTCTTTTTTTCAGCTCCAGTGCAGCTGTATTTTTCATTGCAAAGCAGTTCTCGGTTGATGTGTGGGTTGTTCAAAAGAAGTGGATATTCAATCAAGAAGGCAGAGGACAGAAGCGCCTGATTGGAGTTTTGCCTGGCACAGGACGGCCACACAGATACACTTTGCAATTTCTGAACGTACGAAACCGTACACACGATGCAGAGTTCAATCGTTAGATATCAAAAATTGTTTGTGATCTACCACACCGAGTAGACCTGGTGGTGGTGGTGCCGCTGCTACTGCTGATTCTGATGAAGCAATTCGAGCATTAGGGGAGGTTGGGGACAGTTTGGGCCAAATTTCGTAATCGTAACATTTTGATGTGAATAGATTTTTGGGATCTTAGGTATCTTATTGGCTCATGTTTCACATTCTGAAAAAAATAGGGGTCCCCATGTCCGTTCGGTCAACTGCAGCCACGTTTCCACGCCTAGCTTTTACGGACATTGCTGGACGGGTGCACAGTCATGGTCTACGATACCTGTATAATCTCTTGCAGCATTGCATTGAAACTTTCAGGAACACAAACCAACTCAGTTTAGATTGTAAAGAAAGTGGGAAAATGGCACTGGCACCAAGCACGTCACCGAAAATTGCAAAAATGCAAAGCTGGTTTCTTTTTTTTTTTCGAAAAAAGGGGAAATTTATAGAAAAAAAAGGACTAAGGAACTACAAGTTACGCTATAATGTCCACTAACGCCGCCAGTTACTAAACAATCGGCTCATGCGATAACATTGCACGATACTTCACAGCTGAGAATATTTAGCCCATGCTTGTCTTGTTTACGCTCACCTTCCCTTCCTATGGTATCATTATAACTTACAGCCTTCGAAGTTGGAAGGCTGTTGGAGTGCGCATCCAAGATGTGCTAGAGCTGTTAGCCAGTTAGTTGTAGAACGTCAGTAGCGCCGGTCAGTGTCGTGCAATGTTATCGCATGAGCTGATTGTTTAGTAACTGGTGGTGTTAGTGGACATTATAGCGTAACTTGTAGTTCCTCGGTCCTTTTTCTTTTCTATAAACGTTTCCTTGGCTCTCCATCCGAGTCCATTCAAAAGGAGAAAATAAAATAATTTCTCACGTGATTGCCAACGGAATGTTTTTTTATGAACATGGGTTTATGCCGGGATGCTTTCATGGAAAGGAACGGGTCTGACAATTAAAAACAGGGGTCCCCAAATTCGTTCAGACAATAAACACTACAACTTTTACGAAAAATGTCATAATTATTTTGATACTGCATGTTCGGGCCTGCAAAGTGGCTCAGTTTGATTTGTGAAAAAAAGGAAAAATAAAGGCAATGCCTCCTGAAAGCAAGTATCGATGTAATGCGAAGAAAAATAAAATTGCCCATATTGTGATTCGGGAGAATGAAGTTGAAGACACTAATGCAGCAGTACTTACGATAGATTCAAATGGTGGTAAAACACACACCTGGCAATGTGGCGGTAAACACACGCCTGCCCACGCATGCTCTCTAGGCTACAGTGTAATTCTAGCACAGAACTCTCCTTCTCACCACCACCACCATCATTTCGCACCTGGCGCCTAGTCGATGCGTGGCTGGTGGTGTCCGACATGCTTTGGGTCGTGTGGATGGATCTCCTCAATGGAAAACGGGATTAAGAATAGGCTTTGGTGGAGAACACGACCCCCGATGTGGAACAGTCACTAGTAAAAGCCCTGATCTTGAAGGACTCATTCTGGTGGTATCCGACATGATTTGGGTCATGTGGAGGGATCTCCTCCATGGAAAATGGGAACAAGAATAGGCTTTGGTGCAGAACACGACCCCCGATGCGGAACAGTCACTAGTAAAAGCCCTGATCTTGTAGGACTCATTCTGGTGGTATCCGACATGATTTGGGCCGTGTGGATGGATCTCCTCCATGGAAAATGGGTACAAGAATAGGCTTTGGTGGAGAACACGACCCCCGATGTGGAACAGTCACGGGAAAAAGCCCTGATCTTCAAGGACTCGTTCCGGTGGTATCCGACATGCTTTGGGTCGTGTGGATGGATCTCCTCCATGGAAAATGGGAACAAGAATAGGCTTTGGTGCAGAACACGACCCCCGATGTGGAACAGTCACTAGTAAAAGCCCTGATCTTGTAGGACTCATTCTGGTGGTATCCGACATGATTTGGGCCGTGTGGATGGATCTCCTCCATGGAAAATGGGTACAAGAATAGGCTTTGGTGGAGAACACGACCCCCGATGTGGAACAGTCACGGGAAAAAGCCCTGATCTTCAAGGACTCGTTCCGGTGGTATCCGACATGCTTTGGGTCGTGTGGATGGATCTCCTCCATGGAAAATGGGATTAAGAATATGCTTTGGTGCAGAACACGACCCCCGATGTGGAACAGTCACCAGTAAAAGCCCTGATCTTGAAGGACTCATTCTGGTGGTATCCGACATGATCTGGGTCGTGTGGATGGATCTCCTCCATGGAAAACGGGAACAAGAATAGGGTTTGGTGCAGAACACGACCCCCGATGTGGAACAGTCACTAGTAAAAGCCCTGATCTTGAAGGACTCATTCTGGACGGTCACAGTCAAGTCAACATTGTTGATGGAATCATTAATAGCTAAGGATAGCTTTTGCTTGGATCTGTCGTCGAGCCACACAACTGTTTCCGGATCAATGTCGAATGGATTCTTAACTGGCCTACTCTTCGCAACGATAAACTTGGCCATGTTCAGTGCTGGCTCGTTCCCCAGCTCTTGCCGACTTTGGAGGGTGCTGTCCTTCTCAAATATTCCAGGGACAATGTGCTTACAGCGTGGGGTCTTTTTAGATAGCTGTGGACATTCCTCTGGTGAGAATCTAGTGTACTCTTGAAGTGTCCAGTGTACTCCTGAAAACAACCAAGACACCTCCGTCCATGTCGGTGCATGAGTCCTGCGCACGGTCTGCGTCCATTCTCCGCAGAGGGTGGCAGTGAATCCTCTCCAGATCTCAGGAGGGTATTTGTCCCGTCCGCTTCGGCGCCGGTAGCGTCATGGACAGCCGCATAGGGTTGGGCGATGAGCTTGGAGAGCCCTTGGAGAGCCGCATACGCCGCACGATTAACATGTTAGCTCAGCCCAGTCGGTAGAGATGGAGATGACAATAATGAGAAGGTTCTAATACGCAAAAGTCAAAGATCTGGTCACTAGCTTGAATCCAATTGTCGAGTCACAAAAGCACAAGCCCGCTGGTAACATTTGCAGACTGGACCTAACGTTAGCTCACAAGCAGAGGTGACCATTGGGTGCATGTGTTTGTTTCGTTGGATCACAGAGTTCGATCCCCTTGCTCAAGCTGTTTCACTCTTGTATCACGGAGTAGTTCGATCCCGTTGCGTGGGCTATTTCACTCTTGGATCAGGGAGTAGTTCGATCCCCTTCCTCGAGCTATTTCGCTCTTGCTTGTGCAGAGCTTAGAAGTCACGGCAGTGAAGTAAACCAGGTCGTCCCGGAACAGCGACAAAACTCGGAGAGAACTTGGGATAACATGTTGTTGCTGAGATGATTGAGAGAACGTTAGATGCAACTGGCAACTGGGTTGTTGCGAGCGCATTGCTGCCCAGAACGAGGCACTGCACTGGACAACTGACAAATTCACACACACACACACACACACACACACACACACACACACACACACACACACACACGCAAGTAATATTGCTAATACTTTTTGACATGGCTCTTATGTGTGCTGTGTTTCAACAGCACAAGCCTCGGAGGTGCGATTGCCGGAGGCGTCATTGGATTCATCTTCATCGTCTCTGCTATTGTCGTCTGCTGCAAATTCTACTTGTACGGCGGTTGTGGTCGTCAACCCTACCGTACAACGTGAGTGGAGACATGCTTGGACAGTGTTGTGTAGAACCATGTATTGTTTTCCTGTATGTTGACGTTCCCCCAACTGTCTCTTGTACGGCGGTTGTGGTCGTCAACCCTACCGTACAACGTGAGTGGAGACATGCTTGGACAGTGTTGTGTAGAACCATGTATTGTTTTCCTGTATGTTGACGTTCCCCCAACTGTCTCTTGTACGGCGGTTGTGGTCGTCAACCCTACCGTACAACGTGAGTGGAGACATGCTTGGACAGTGTTGTGTAGAACCATGTATTGTTTTCCTGTATGTTGACGTTCCCCCAACTGTCTCTTGTACGGCGGTTGTGGTCGTCAACCCTACCGTACAACGCGAGTGGAGACATGCTTGGACAGTGTTGTGTAGAACCATGTATTGTTTTCCTGTATGTTGACGTTCCCCCAACTGTCTCTTGTACGGCGGTTGTGGTCGTCAACCCTACCGCACAACGTGAGTGGAGACATGCTTGGACAGTGTTGTGTAGAACCATGTATTGTTTTCCTGTATGTTGACGTTCCCCCAACTGTCTCTTGTACGGCGGCTGTGGTCGTCAACCCTACCGTACAACGTGAGTGGAGACATGCTTGGACAGTGTTGTGTAGAACCATGTATTGTTTTCCTGTATGTTGACGTTCCCCAAACTGTCTCATGGGCATGTGCGGTTTGAGTATGCGTGATGCTGACAGTCTCCAGTCTTGTCTTTTCAGTCTTCTTGTTCGTCCCGTGGGAGTTGTTATCCCTGTTTTCCCGTCATGTCCTAGTGCTAAGAATATGCCAAGGACAACGGCTGTACTGTAGGTCTGCAAATTTCCGGCCTGTTCAAATTTCGGTCTCCCAGGGCTAAAACCCATTTCGGCCGCATCAAGTGTTCAGCCTGTACTGCTGTCGCCTGTATACACTGTCACACTGAACCTTGCGGAAACATTTTCGGCTGCAACAAATTTTCGGCCAAGCATGACCAGGCCGAAAATAGCCGGAAATAAAAATGCGCCGAAAATCTGTTGACCGTACAGTAAACGGAAGAAATGCGCGCCCTTTGTGTCCTGAGTCGCGGCGAACGGAATGGCTGTGTTTCCCTAGCAACAGTACACTGAAGTACAACCTATCATGGCGACCACTTGGATCAGGCGACCGCCACTTCATACACATCTTAAACATTTTCATCATAATTGTGAGAGCCGTGGGCCAATAGCCCCGGTGAGAAGGCGGTCTTGCCTGTTCATATGGTGAAGTAAAATAAAGAAACAACAACAACAACACCTGTTCCAGGAGATCACCACAATCAGGACCAAGGGATGCTATTTCCAGTCAAATGACCCTGGATACGGAGACCATCTGGCAGCAGAGACCACATTTTGAAGATTTCTTGAGAGCGATCGTCTTAGACAAGTTTCACTGTAGTTGCTGGTGGGTAATATTATCTTTATCAGGATTTATCAGGATGACCTTTGCAAAGGCGTGTTGACCATGAAGAGGTTCATTGCGCTGAAGGATGTGCACGCACATGCATGATTTGCCTTGTGTGTGTGTGTGTATGTGTGTGGGTGGGTGCGTGCGTGCGTGTCCCTTTTTTCCTTTTTCTGCACCTTGTCCTCACTCACTTACTGAGGTGTGGTGAGCCCATAAGTGGGATCATTTTCAAGTCCACCCAGAGTTTTGGAGATTTCAGGGTGTGTCAGCCGTTGGGCGGTTCAATAGCCAATTGAGTCACCTTCCCAAGATTCCTTTTGAGTCTCTCTCCACTCTCCCGGTGAGACCCACGTGACCAGTTTTGGCGATGAGCAGCAAGTACAAGCGTGTGTGTGTGTGTGTGTGTGTGTGTGTGTGTGTGTGTGTGTGCCTGCCTTGCTGTTCTTGCTGTGTACAGCTACGGAGGTCGTGTGATGACCAGCACCATCGTCACCACCCCGCAGGTGGGTGCCGCTGGGACAGTGTATGCAGGACAGCCGCAGCAAGTCGCAATGAGTAAGTTATTTAAAAAAATTGTAAATAGAAAAGGACCTATGAGTTACTCGTTATGACTAACAGTCCACCAAGGTTGCGAGATAATAATATGCAGTCAGATAGTGTTACTACGTTGTCGCACTATCTGACTGTATATTATCTCGTTACCTTGGTTACCTCGGTGGACTGTTAGTCATCACTAGTAACTTATAGATCCTTTTCTCTTTCCATATCATTTCATAATAATAATAATAATATTATTATTTTTTCCTCCACGTCAACGAAATTGTCGCAGTTTGACTAGTGGCTTGTCACTTGTTACTGACAACTCCATATAAGCTAAACCATACAAAAATTATTACACAGGATGATAGTCTGATGTCTAGAGTAACGTTCCAGGACAGTTGGACTGAGAGTTTCACACGGAGACGAAGGCCTCGTCGTCGCTGATGTCAAAAGACGAAAAAATATCGTGCCGCAAATTTTCCAGGAAGGCTGTAAGTTGGTCGCGCCTCATCTCAACCGCTTTGACTTTCTCCACAGGACAAGAGCTGCTATGCTTGTCGTCTCCTAGCTCTGGATGATTTCTACTTCACCACCAACGCAGTAAGAATACACGATCGTTGCGAGGTCGGTTGATTACCGTCGGCGGAATCACCTCAATCTTGAAATGAACTTTTTTTAGCCGTGGGATGCTCATTCATTTTAGCTGTGTGGTCAAACACGAGTATGTTTCGCGTGGTCAGGACGCGACTCTAACCCAGCTCCCCCTTCGTGTTGCCGCTTCACGGCTTGCTAATGGTCCCTTACGTATTTCTGGATTCCCCAGAGGCTGGAAGGCCTGTCCAGGGATTTCCGTATCAGCATTAAAAATACAAAAACAACAACAACAACAACACCACCACCACCAACAACAACAACAACAACAACAACAACAACAACAACTCACGCTTTAAAGTTAAACATATACTCTTCGCGCATTCTCTGCGCTACAATTATGCCCCACCACATATACTCTCGCTGCATACTGCTAGCAACGTGCAACCTTCGTATAATTTACGTCGCTCTCGTACTTGGCACTTGCCAACTCCGCGGACTGACCGCTGTCTCCATTCTCCCCTGTACAAGGCCCTTCATTACTTTAATTGCCTGCCCACCCAGCTTCGCGAAATCCCTTCTCGTACTCCCTTCAAATCCGAGATATCCCTGCTGTTGCACAACTCTGTATGCTCGTGTAGCGACCACCCCTGCCCGTACACTTAAGTACGCAACTCTGTATGCTCGTGTGGCGACCACCCCTGCCCGTACACTTAAGTAGTCATTAGCCCCTAGGCCCTGCCCACCCAATTCTTCCTCACTCTTTCTCCTTTCTTACACTATTATCTCTTATTGGCCACTGGCTATCGTGAGAATAAAGATTTGAAACAACAACAACAACAACAACAACAACAACAACAACAACAACAACAACAACAACAACAACAACATCTCTTATTGCATTCTTTATCCACTGACGATGTTCAGAACAACGAAACATCTGGAGAAGTATCGTAAATATTTCTATCGTTATTAAATTTTATTAAATATACCACTCTTTGGTCTAGAAAGAATACTTTTTTGATATCTCTTATTGGCCACTGGCTATCGTGAGAATACAGATTTGAAATATGATTATTGTGTTATGTTGTATGATGTGTATTGCGTGATGTGGACTGTGTGGTGTGTGTGCACGCGTGTGTGTGTGTGTGTGTGTGTGTGTGTGTGTGTGTGTGTGCGTGCGTGCGTGCGTGTGTGTGTGTGTGTGTGTGTGTGTGCGTGTGATGTGTTTGTGTGTTTGTGTGTTTGATGTGTATGTGTGTGTGTGTGTGTGTGTGTGTGTGTGTGTGTGTGTGTGTGTGCGTGTGTGTGCGTGTGTGTGTGTGTGTATGTGTGTTTGATGTGTGTGTGTGTGTGATGTGTTTGTGTGTTTGATGTGTGTTTGATGTGTGTGTGTGTGTGTGTGTGTGTATTGTGTGATGTGTGATGTTGTGCAGCCGCGCAGCCAGTGCCAGGCGCCTATACAGCGCAGCCCGTCGTTGGCCAGCCCGGCGCTCCACAGGCCACCATGGAGAGCAAGCCGGCCTATCCCCACGCACCGGCCGCCGCCACAGGTAATACTGCGGGCTAGCCACACGTTTACATTGCACATCTGTGTGTAAACAAGACTAGTTGTGCATGTCTGCATGCATTTTGGGTGTACGTGCATGAGTGGTTGTGTCTGTGTATGGGGGGGGGGGGGGGGGGGGTAAGCAACCTATTGCCGATGCATCTACTCGTGGTCAGTGTGGCTGTCTTTTGCAATTGCATTCAAAATCTGTGCTTTTTGTGCGTGTGTGTGTGTGTATGTATGTGTGTGTTTTGTGCGCCCGTGTGTGTGTGTGTGCGCGCCCGCGCGCGTGTGTGTGTGTGCGCGCCCGCGCGCGTGTGTGTGTGTGTGTGTGTGTGTGTGTGTGTGCATGCATGCCTTCAATTGTGTGTATGTGTGTGTGTGCGTACATATTCCCTGTCTCTTTTCGCAATGCTGCACAGTGTATCCCAACGCACCAGTGGCAGGTGAGGGTCATTGTTCTTACTCCTTGTGATTTTCTGCTCCGACATGATTCCCATAATAGCTGTGATTTGAGCACCAGCGATTACTGTAAAACGGGTAACGTTTGCGACAATACATGTTTGCGTTTTACAAATTTGGACTGGTTTGCGCTGTTTAATGTTTGCGATTGAATACATACATATTGAATACATACTTCTTTGAACTTTGCATGGCGCGAGTTTGCGTTGTTCAAAGTTTGCGATTCGGGGCCTCTCGCAAAATTCGTAAACATTTTTACGTCGCAATAGTTACCCGTTCTACAATTACTGGTATTTCAAACTCGGATGTTGTGCCAATAGTGAAAGACTGTATCGTAGACAGCTGCAGTGGTGGAGAGTTACTCTTAACTTGTATCCATATGTCCTTTTCCTTTCTACTCAGTGAGTATTTCATTGCGCAATACTGCGATAGTAATTCGCTACGTTACGGCCGCAATGCATGGGAGTTCGGAGTTGAGACTTGAGACCTTATCAGGTAGCAAGGGAAAGTTGAAACTGCCACAGGGACACTCTTAGCTTGAAATCCTAGTGCATTTCGAGTCACTGAAAACCTGCCGCGCAGCGCGCTGTTCAACAGCAAAATGGAACCCTTTCTTGTCATGTTCACACATTAAACTGAACCTTTGTTTAGGTCGGCTTCCAAACAGTACCACTGCTGGGGATTGGTGACGGCCAGCATTTCATGAACTCAAAATAAGAATGTTGCATTTTTCAGGTCACGAGAAAGTTTGATGACTCAGAAGTAGTGACAAACTCGGCCATTTGAAAATCTGAGGTGGACGGTTCAGATTATTTTCACGAGAAAGTTTGTGAAAGCAACTGTCTCATGAATCATAGGAACACTACCGCCCTCTTGGATCAAGGAGCAGATGCAGCTCCTAAAGTGATGGGAGGTGAGTAGATCAGACCCACCACAAAGAGGACAAGACCGAAAATGTACTTCGGTGCGCATGTGTTAGTCTCGAATCGGGCGCCGAGTTCCCAATTACATGCGGGTCGCGGGCCGGTTGGGACTTTCCTCCGCTGCCAAACTGGACTCGAAACTGGAATACATCGTCTCACTCATATGGTCCTGAGACTACCCCCCCCCCCCCCCCTACAGGTCACCATGCCTGGAATGCATGTCTGACATTTTGTTGTTTGCTTTGCTATGTTGTCCTGTAGCGGCAAACCCTGCTTATCCACACGCTCCACAAGCGCAAGGTAAGAGCACATTGGGTGATTATGAATGGGCTGTTTCCCATCGTGATAAATCGACATTCCTTGAATAGGACTGTAGCAACTTACAATCAACTTTGCGTATAACGACACTCGACGGGGCATCAGAATAGTGTCCTTATTCGCGTCTAGGAAACCACAGTACTTCGAATCCTTTCCTGTAAGGAAATCTGCCGGTGGCGGCGGCGGCGGTGGTGCTGCTTCTGCTGCTATTGCTGTTGTTAGTGTAGTTGGTAGTGATGGTGGTGGGGGTGGTGGTGGTGCTGCTGCTGCTGTTGTTGTGGGCAGTGGTGGTGGTGGTGGTGGTCGTGGCCGTGGTGTTGCTGCTGGTGGCGGTGCAGATCCTCCACGTTTGTGTGAAATATCTCATCTGAACTCATCAAATTTATCATGTATGTCAACTCTGTATGTGCAGGTGGAGCTCAACCGTGGGGTGGTGTGGCCGCACCACCGCAAGCCGCAGCACCGTACCCTACCAACGTCAACGCTCCACCGCCGTACAGCTCGGCTGCGCAGATGTAGGCACTACGCTCAGCGGCCTGCAGCTGAGCCAGCGAGTCGTAATATACCGGCATTTTACGACTCCCGGCTGCAAACACCTCCACACAGCACTGAGCACGTCTGTGCCAGGTCACAGTCATGCATTCGCATGTGTGGGTGCTCACTTTTCCTTATTTCCTTTTAGAGTATTTAGTTTCTTTTTAGGCGGCGGCGTTCTCTGATCGTGTCAAGGACACTTTTTTGGGACTTTCGTTTACTACATGTCTCTCGTTGTCACCGTTGTCTTCTGCGTTGGAGATCCTGTCACTTCTGGCCAATGATCCTACCATAGTATGCCTGTCTTAGAAGTATACCTAGATAGAATTGCTTTCTATTGTTGTTTCCAACCCCGATATCCCTTTATGCGTCCGCAGCGAAATACATGCACAAAATCGATATCCCTCTATGCGTGTGCAGCGAATTACATGCACAAACTAGCTATTCGGTTTTTGAAATTGTGTTTTTCTTTCTTTTTTCTTTTGGTACATGTAGTACTCTATGTAGTGATTGCCTGTTCTTTTCGCTTGCTCTCATTACCGGTGGAAGTGAAGTGTTGTTATATTTGGCAAGGCTGCATCTCTCGGCTTCTGTGTCGTTCCTTGGTGAGTTGGATTCTGTGACCAGGGCCGGGAGGCGTTGTGCATGTTTCTAGTCGTTCCACGTGGGTTAGAACACGAAATGGAAGTGTTCAAGCCCCGGCCTGAGCCTGAGGGCTAGGAAGAACACTGAGAGCTTGCGATCAGACAAATGTTCGCTTTAGAAGAACTATAGTAGTAATTTTATAACTCTACTGTAACTGTACTCTGTACTGTAACTTGTTCTGGAACTCTACTGTATAGATTAGAGTATTCACTGGGTATGAACGTATGGTTAGTTAAGACGTGCAACTCTCCTTATTGCGAATAACTACCATCGGTCGGTCGCTATGACTTGTTCAAGTTGTACTGTTGCTGTTTGTCCTATACTAATGCTGTTTGACTGCTCACTGCAGCATGCCTACTCAGTTACTAGTAGTACTAGTACTGCTGTTCGGCATGTCAAGCTCACAAGAGTCACATACATTGTACAGGTCTCTGCCATGCCCCCGGCAGGATACTACTAGTAGTACTAGTAGTACATCAGTGTATCAAGGGCCAGGCAGGGATATTGCTCCCGCATATTATGACCATGAGCCGCGTTACCATGGTTACAATTTGTCAATTATCACCTTTCATGTGCTGCGATTGTAGTAATGCGATTGATGTGGTAGAACATATTGTTACATGTACGTCATTATTGTTGATGAGTCGTCGGATTGTATAATCACGGTGTGAGTCAGCGACGCTGTATAGCGTGAGTCAGCGGATTCGCTTACAAGTGCAAATTCTGCTGTAGTCGAGCACACAATCGGGCATTCAAAGGTTTGAAGGTTCTATTTTCACACGGCGATCGACACAGTGGCTGGCATTAATGCGTGATGCCAGTATGACTGTATTCTTATCTGATGCGGTGGTTGGTATCACTATCATCTATGTGCCTGTTCTGTGCTGCCAACACTCCTCAATTAGACATCATTCCACTCGCGAAGTAACAACGTTAGTTTGCCGGACCTACTGATCTCATGAGCGCGTGTGTTCTGCACACATGCAGCATTGTTTCTGAGAATGAAGTCATTTTGTAGTCCTTCAGTTCAGCTTGTCATTGACTAACAGACGTGACAACGCCACTGTCACCACCGCACCCAGCAGGATCTTGACAGGTCTCTTTTTGTCATAATTATTGCAGTACAGCTACTCAGCTAGAACTAAGTAGAAGATCTGCCATTACACAATGGTCCTTCACACAATGACCATGCATTGTAATGGCATTATACAATGTACAAGTAGTTGCAAAGCTTGCATACTTTGAAGTACATGGACATGGACATGTCACTTGTGCATGAGTTTACAGTCATAATAATTATTATTTATGTGAAATGTGTGGGATTCTCTTGCGCCGGGCCGCGCCGCAGGGATCTGGCAGTTGACCAGATGTCATCGACTGTCAACGGCCGGCCAGCTGTCCCTTGGCACTGCTCGGTGTTCGATCAAATGTTTCGCGTGGAGCGGAGCTGCCAGGCCTACCGTCCGTCCGGGAAAGGCGTTGAAATGATGTAAAGTACCTACAATGAGTTCAATCAAGAGTACGGTATAATTATGTACTCTTGATTTATTTATTTATTTATTTATTCAACATCTCCTGGCCCGTCCGAAGACTGCCAATAAACATGAGAGGTCAGGTGATAGCCAACCACGGCAAGCTAAAAAGGGAAAAAAAAAGAAAGATGCTGTCAGAGAGGGAAAGGAGATAGGGAGAGAAAAAGAAAGGGAGGCACATTAATAATACATGGGATCACTTCGGATGAGACAGTGTGGAAAGCTGGACTGTGAATTTCCTGATATCCTGGCATGTCTTAATGCTAGTAGGCAGGTTAGACCAAAGGGAGTATGCTGAGAAGAAAGGGGATTTCAAAAACAGAGAGGAACTAGCTCGGGGCAGTGATAAGGCATTGCGTGTTGGTCTAGTGGTAACAAACCAGTTGTACTTGGCAATATGTTTCGGGACTTGGGCTAGGAAGATTTTTTGCACAAGGATACAAAGATGCTGCTGATGTCGGGCAAGAAGAGGGTGCGTGGAAGCAAGTTTATAAAGACAATTGCACATGTAATAACAGTTACTATAGTGATGGCAACTGAAATCCGACCCCCCCTGGGCGGTGGGTTCACATTCTAGCGGTCTCTGTTTCGTAGTTTTACCTCTTTGCGATGTGAGCGCACCGCTCAGGGGGTCGGATTTCAGTTGCCAGCACTGTAGCCACAGTAGGTTCAACGCTGACCATTTTGGTCAAGGCACTAGTATTGGCACTAACTAACTTGCGGCAGGTCGTGGTGGAAGAACAGAACAGAATTGTCACAGGAAGCCAAGATCAGTTATACAGTGGATGGCACTGGATGCGCTGACGAGCCTCACAAAGGACGGAACACAGGAGATCAAGCACCGTCGCACGTCAGATTGTACATGTACATGTACTTGTACTTCATGCATTTACTGGCACGTAGCCCTTGGCGGACACTGACTGCTGACAAATAATAATTGGCAGAATTTGGTACATTTTCTGGTATGTTTCATGCATGCTTGGCATGCATAAAGGAAATTGGCAAGGAAGTGCCTGTCATATACATGTATGCATAGGCATAAGGTCAAGAGTGTATAAACTCCCAGGGAGCTAATACACTCTTGATAAGGTCTAGTCTGTATGTTTCTGCCAATTTTACTACTGTTCCGGTGTTCGAGTAGAATCTGCCAAATTCCCAAGCATATCCGCATACATGTAGGCCTGCAGGGCCACTAGCAAGAGTAGATGTACGAAGTACATGTACTGTTACAGTACATGTACTTCGTACAATCATGTAAACATTAGTCCTGGTCATAGTGGTGTGACTGACTCAATATCATTGGTCGGGTTCTTATTGTTATTCTCTCTTCTCGTGTCTCTGCTCGACCCCTGCACTTGCCCCATGGTGAGGGCTTGGTTTAGCATGCACTCCGCGGCCTCACCGCGACACTAGCGGTGCAACGTGTCGTTGGGCGGGGCTCGCCTAGCAGCTGTATTCAATCATCTCTGAATTCCCAGCTGTCAAGTGTCAGGGCATGCATGTCATCCATCACCATACATGTACAGAACAATGCGTTGTCCGTTGGTTTCATTGATCACCACTATCTGCTGATGAATCTCTACATTCCTTTATTGACTTGTATAAAAGTTGGATGCCCACACCAAGGAAGAATAAATCCTATCCAGGCGACCACTCGGATAAAGCGACCAGTTGTTCTGATAGTTGCAGTGAGGAATCCGGCCACAACGCCTGCACAAATACATACATGTACAATCAATCATGTACATGTACATGTATAATAAAGTTCTAAAAAGAAATACTAAACAGCATTAGCTGCCTCTGAAGCCAGCGTGGCGGGAGGCTCTTGTTGATTAATTCTTTGTTGATATTTTCCAAATAATGTTCTAGATCCTCTAACTCTAAGGCACACTATACATGACCTTAGGAGGGCAAAGGAAATGCGGCACCTGACAAATGCCACGACATGTGAATACGGTTCATTACGCTTGTAAGGTTCAGCTATTACTTGGTACTGAAATGGTAGCGAGGTCACCTCGCTACCAAGACAGTCACAACACACTGTACACGGTACTCAGCCAATTTTTTGGCACTGGCAAACCTCTGGTGGTGAATTGTAGAAGGTAAACCATAAGAGATGTGCCCCCTGTTTTGGGCGTTTGGCCTCTACGACGCCTAACACCCAATGAAACGTTATATTATAATCATGATGGCACCACACCAAAACGGAGTCGTGAGTGCGTTGTTTATCAGTCAAATGTGCCTGTAATAATAATAATTATTATTGACATATTGTGTAACAAAGGGTTTGCTCCCCACACTGGAGCTCGCGCTATTCCGCGGACTTTACTTGACACTTGACTGACGCACGACTGCCATCCAAAGCACACAAGAAGTCCATCGAACCTTCGACTCGGCAAACCTGCAACAAAGCACCACTCCCTGCTCAATACACAGTGTTTCGGGGAATTCACCCCTCATCAGTTGAGCTTGAGTAGGCGGAATAGCGCGAGCTCCAGTGTGGGGAGCAAGCCGTTTCTTACAAATCATCGCCGAAGTCGCAACCTCTATTTCGTAATATTGTGTAACGTTACCATTGTCATAAAGTCAAAAAAAACCAGCCAACTAAACTCCCACATAAATCTCCCTGTGTCTCACTACAATTGCAAACTCCTATAATGATTAGCTACATTGTAGCACGGGTAGTCATTGTAGGCCCACTTGGATGTCGGAGGGCGAGTAACAGTTCATGGGACTAAACTAAAGCTGCATGACACCTGAAGTCCTGAACTCGCCTTATCATGACACTATCATTATGTACAATGTACATACAGCGTCTCTAGAGTCTCTACACAAGTAGTTGGCAGGAAAGCGCCAGCTACAACATACAAAGGGACTCATAGGGAGCAAGAGACATTTCTCTGACAAGTGACAGTAAGTATCGCCCAAGTCTCTACAACCTCTTCTTTTTATTAAAAATTATAATGTGCCTTTCAGTTTTTCCGTTACAATCATGTATCGGCATGACCATCATTATTTTAAACTGCATGTAGCACCACACTGACACACTACTTACTGCTTACTACACTACAGTCTAGGGACCGGCGGATTCTGCTCGAAAAGCAGCAGAACCATACAATGGCGGGCAACTCCTCGAATTCTGCTCCATTTCTTTATCCACATACCAAACATGCATGAAACTTACCAGAAAAAGTACCGAATTCTGCCAATTTTTCTGCCGGCAGAATCCGCCGGACCCTATGGCATACTACACAATCATGACAGTGCGGCAAAGCATTGCACAAACCACAGTACATACATGTACATCATTACATGTACCGTGGTTGGCTATAAAAAACCTGCAATCGCCACGCAAAGTGGTCATTGGCTACCCGAGCCATGTAATGATGTATTGCTTGGAATAAAATAAAATAAATACATAAAATACATCGTACAAACCCAACACCCAAAGCAGCATAGCCCAAACCACAGACTCACTAACTCAGCTGCAACTAACACACCTCCACATTTCTCCTTGCATGAATACTAATTCAGTCATGGTTATACATGTAGAGTTGGTGGACAAGCCAAACGTCTGGAGAAGTATCGTAAATATTTCTATCGTTATTAAATTTTATCAAATATACCACTCTTTGGTCTAGAAAGAATACTTTTTTGATAGTCATGGTTATACTGATTACTGGCGAGGCCAATACTGGCAATAGGTAATAGAATCTTTATGTTGCATGATGATTGCATAGCTAGCACTGGCATGAAACTCAGAGTTGCAAGTAACACAAACTTCCCTTGTGCCTCTGTTGTTCTGTGTATTAATTTTATTCGTGCTTATTCTGTTTTTCTAGAGCCAGTAGAGGTCTGTTTTCATGGTTTTTGGCATGGCAAAATGTCATGTGCACCGACCCGTTCTATTTTTTATTTTGGCTTTGCGCCCACGGTCGGTATGGCCACTACACCCGCTCTGTTGACCATTAGCAGCCTGATTAGTGGCATTACATTTTTCAACACTAACGACTGGGCTGTGTCACACTCACAGACTCAGTGATCAGTGCAGTGTGTGACCCGTATGACTGGATGATGGTATGGTGTGTGTGCACAAGCTGGAGCCAGTGCCAGTGCCAGTGGATGGAGCATTGGAGGTATTAGCCGTAAGGACAATCATTAATTTTTAGGTACATGATTGTACTGATGATGTAGATCTACATGACTATACTGTCTATAGACATAGTACTAGACCATGGTATGGAGTGGTACTGTGCCTGTGGTAGACCAGGGATAGGAAAGCTACGATCCGTACGACTCCCTGGAGTACAACTACAAGGACATGACTGGGTCTGTGCACGACGAGGCTACAATCATGCGCGCCGGCGATGCTCTGATCTACTGCAGTACTGGTGAGTCTGACTGTCTGAGGACGAGGGCGGACCATGCGGACAGACTCGACACCCGGTACCCGTGACCGACGTCCGTGTACCATGGTGTACGGTCGGTGTAGTGTCGCGTCGTGGCGAGGGTGATCCCCCGGCTCTTTTCAAGCCTAGACTAGCCTGGCTTTGCAACACTGTAGCCTTTGCCTTTGGCTTTGTACTTTGTAGGTCTACTGCCGGTCGGTGGCAAACAAGACTCAAGAGTCCTGGATGGAGAAATCCGACTCAAGAGTCCTGGTCCCTGATGGAGAAATCCGATCCAGTGAATACTCTCAGTGGGCTACCCGGCACCAGCACCATACATACGCTAGTGCGCTACTCTGCGTTGAGCGCTGCCGGGGGCGGATTTCTCTGGCCAGAACTGTAGACCATGGTAGACTGTAGTAGGGAGTTCAGTTCCGGTCACTGAAAAGCGAAAAGTGCAGTCACAGCTCGCCTGTACAAAGTGAATGGGCGCCTCGTGGCTGCAGTTCGAGATGCAGTTCGCGGCCCGAGTATCTTCTCCCGCGGCCTTTTCGGCCTTGTCGATGCTATTTTTAGGTAGCTGAGGTCATTACCTTTCCAATGGTGCCACACATGCCATGCTTCCAAAAATAATGCCTCTGCGAATTGGCGCGGGTGCACTTCGAAGTACTAATTTCGATCAGATCCGTACTCGGCTTCGCGAGGAACACCCGATTTTCGTGTTCAGCGGCCTCGAATTAGCCTAAACCAAGAGGATTCTACAACATTGAGGCTCGCGCTTTATCGCCGTAGAAGGAAAATGATCACAGAAACCAGCCCACGGCGATTTCCTGGTGGTAGACGAAAAAATCGAGTGAACTGCGCGCACACTGTACTGGTAGAAGCAGTGACGGTGAAAACGTGTGACTTGTGCAAGTCGGCGCGCACGGCATGCGTGCACACTGCATGCATGGACACATATCCTGTATCGCCATGTATGCACCAGATAGTGCAGTGCTGGACGGAAACCACACGGCTCCCATACATACTTGCATTTACTTCTGTGACTACTTTCTCCCCCGTTTTCCGATCTTCAATCGACTATAACTCTAGATTGCCTTGGAATTTTGGGTTCAAATTTTCACAGGTTGTTTCTCGATTCTTCCCGGTTTAGAAAAACTAGCGTTTTATACAAAACTCGCGAATTTGATTTTTCAATTGAAGTCCCTAACTGTAGTGTAGTGTGTAGGCTCTACGTCGATGTCCCACACGTGCACACTGCAGCCCGCGTGCGCGGGGGATATTTTCTGCGCATACTACATCATGACTCATATTGTACTAATTTGTAGATCTACCATGTAAACATCATGCATTGGCAGTGCATGCAGCGGTTGCACCTGGCTGAACACTGAACACTGTCAAGAAGACGGCGACCATTTTCATGCAGCACAGCTTTGTGTGCGTGCATACATCTCTTTGCACGGTCCGTGTTACCATGTTACGACTGTAATGCACTGAGACCACACTCCACAGTACTGGAGACTGTCTGTAGACTGTACTGTACTGGCTGTAGATGACCTCGTTGACTTTTCGTGTGTTTCCCTCGGCATTTGATTTTGTGTTTGTGTGAGAGAATTCGTACTGTTTGCTTGGTCGCTGGAGACCTTCCTCAGAAAGCTTTTCAGTTATAGCGTGCTGCAGTAGTAATAGTGATGAGACGGTCGTGTTGAGTGGTCGCTTAGACGGACAAGGTGCGTTGTTGTTTGTGGTGTTCGTTAGCTTTTGTTTGTTGTAAGAGTTTGTTGTAGGCCAGTAGCGATATAAAAAATTCCCGATTGCTGCTCATGGTCTTTGTGCAAGGGTATACCTACCCGCCGCTCATTGATGTGCTCTTGCTGAGGAAATGTTTGAATGCCAAAGCGAGACGCGCGGCTTCTTCAGAAGCTTGGGAGTACTAGTAGCTTGGCCTAGATTAGCCATTGAATTATTTGAACTGTATGCCCATGTATTGTTCCTCGCGTGGCAACGACATTCCCTTTTGTTTGGAGCTCAGAGAAATAAGTGCGCTGGTGACGCCGTCCTCCTGGCCTGGTCCAAAGCAAAGCGTATCGATAACGGGTGCTATAGCGTGGTGGAGGACGCGCTGTGTAGTGATGGGCGCGCTGAGCCGCCACCTACGTTCTTTTTATGTTCTGCCGCAGCTGCATGTAGGGATGTAGGGATGGATACGTAACTCCTTTCTTGTTCGGTGCTTTTACTAACGTCACGCACTAGCGGCTGCTGCCATGCCGCGTCAGTGCTGGCATGAGTTTTGTTTACACAAATCTAAATAATTATTTGATTCGCACGACAGATTCCTTGCCCGAAATAATTGCAGCGGGGCCTCGTGATAGGTTTTGCGGCGCGTCGTCTGGAACAGTGAGTTTTGGTGACTATTGTGATTTGAAAATTATGTGCTCTTTCACCAGCAGGCCCTGAGTTGACCTCGCAGCGCACCTAGCCACGATACCGACTGAGCTGGGCTTCAGCAGGATCTCCCAAGTGTTCACAACGACAGGAAACAGAGAGTCGGTGGGTGAAGCCGTGCTGAACGACCGCTACTAGTGGCGCACTTAGTGCCCGTTATTGCCGTCGCTCGACAATGGCGGCGTTGAACCAGCGCGGTTCGTACAAGGTCCGCGACACCACCGACGGTCCGCCGATACCGCGCAATGTTATCCGAGCTAATGTTCAACTACTGGACGACAACTGCCTGGTGTTCGATATGCCGGTGAGTCCATGTGCTCGAACATAAAATAATAGTTATACATGTAATGCACTTCGATTTGTGTGCAGCGGGTGGTAAATGTGTGCCTGCTACTAGTATTTGGGGTGGTTCGATACCCCATGTTGAAGCTGAGCACCCTCGCCAGGGGTAATTCACATTAATTTAGTCTGGCTTTCTGCAAAATAATTCCACACAGATACTTGTGGAAGGGCATTAAGTGTACAGGTTTGTGTGTGTGTTTGTGCGCGTGCGTGTCCGTACGTGAGTCTGTGTACGTGCACGTGCGTGCACTAGAGAATGTGTTGATGGGGTTGGAACAAGAAATGGTCAGGGCTGGTTGTTCTGGACTTCAAGATCCTCGCCGTCATAAGCTCGGTGTGAAGACTGTGGGAGTATCCCTGTGTGTGCAATAATGTCGGACAGCGAATAACAGTGCGCTGAAGAACAAACGGGCTAAGGTTTCGCTGAGCGCACGACACCCATAATGATAATACCCGGTGACTGCACTGCGCATAGACTGTAGTACTGTCGTGGACCTGGATATCCGGTCGAATGACTCGGGGGGCCGGCACTCTTAGTGCGGACAAGCGTTGCACGCAGGGCACGTGTTGATCGTATGCGTACTCACGCCTGGGTCGCGGCTGCATGGCCAGCGCCCTGAGGCCGCTTGAACTCCAACTGGATTTCCATATCCACAACAGTACATGGAGTCAGGGGCGGATCCAGGAGGGGTTCCGCGGCTGGGAACCCCCTAAATTTCGTAAAAAATGTACTACTGGAGAGCGCATGCGTTTACGTGTACATGTATCAGCTATTCAGTTTGTCTACTACTAGTACACTGGAACCCCCCTGTAGAGATCGTTGGATCCGCCACTGGTCCGAGTACATGGACAGCCACGGCTATGTTGCTGATCTCTCTGTCCGAGTACATGAACAGCCACGGCTATGTTGCTGATCTCTCTGTTCTTCACCGCTCTACAGCACTGTTGGGTTAGTGGAGGTTATTGTACGCAGATCCAACGTCCTCTTGTTTGCGAGACAACGTATGACAGCCAGCAGTCGAGATCAAATTCAGCGCAGTGCATGAAGTGATATCAGTAAACATCTTGTAGCCGAGGAGTGTGCAACACGATCTCTCTCTCTCTCTCTCTCTCTCTCTCTCTCTCTCTCTCTCTCTCTCTCTCTCTCTCTCTCTCTCTCTCTCTCTCTCTCTCTCTCTCTCTCTCTCTCTCTCTCTCTCTCTCTTCGTTTATCCTCCACCCTCCTGCATTACAAACAAAAATCACGGTTTGCGTGACACCAAATCAGACTTAGTTTTCCTCATCCGTAGTCATGCCACCACCCTCAATATGCACGGTGCAGATACCGCTCTTTAACTTAAAGCAGTCACCAAATATCCACCCATATGTCCACTTGCATTCTTCACGACCAGCCGTGCGATCGTCTCCTCAAGTCACTGCACGGACTGAATGAACATACGTTTATGTCCACGCTCTGGACCGCCGGAAGACGTTTTTGATTGGTCTGGCATTGATATGGCCTTTCACCCTTTGGGTATGATTTGGTGGGTTGTCATGCCGTCCACAGTAGAAAACATGACTTTTTGTGTCGGTGGTCAAAAAGTGGGTCCGGTAATAACCTGACCAACTGGACCGCTTCCGGCGGGACTGACGCTGCATACGATATAAAATGCATCCCAGAATTCCAACTGGTGAGTTGCATGGACTTGATTCAAATGAGACACTTGACTGACTCGAGCCAGAAAGGTCTGGTGACACCTACAGGCAGCAGATATGGAATAAGGATTCAGCAGCAACCATAAAATTCTGGATTGCTTGCCTGGATCAAGTTTGTCGCATTTTGAAAACTAACTTGTGTCACCACGTAAGCAAATCCTGTCATGGAAATAGTGTCAGTTCAGCAGACCTTTGTGTTTGTGTGTATATGGGTGTATGTATGTGTGTATATGCGTAATTCCCAACACAGCGCAAGTCACAAGGCGGTGAGCTGCTAGAGCGCCTCTTTGACAAGCTAGATCTGGTGGAACGTTCCTATTTCGGATTGCTCTACAACGACGATCATGGTCTGATGGTAAGCCTACACAAGTGTATTCAAAGGGAAAAGGACCTATAAGTAATAAAGTTATGACTAACAGTCCACCAAGGTAGCGAGATTGTGTGTGTGTCCAAAAAGTAGGGAATCACTGGTCAGAAAAAGCCACTTCATAGCTGTGTGATGTAGACCAGGCTGAATAGTGGCGGTCAATTCTTCAGCCTTGCAAGCTGTTGAACGGTGCAATCCCAGCGCAAGTTGCTATGGCTTCTGCTGTAGCATCGCTATCATCGCCTCCAGCGATGGGCGTCGAATGGTATAATTGTGTGTATGTCTGAGTATATGTGTGTGTGTGTGTGTGTGTTTGTTTGTTTGTTTGTTTGTTTGTTTGTTTGCAGCAATGGGTGGAGGATATGAAATCACTGAGGAAGCAGGTTACCAAGCGAGAAAGTAAGTTGCAATAAACTCCACGTCAACCCGCTGTCTCACCCTGGTGATGGGCCAGGCCCGAACGTTAGGTGTGATAATTAGGTAGCGTGCTCCGGAACTGCTGCTGCTGCATAGCCTCAAGTCTACAGACTTGGAAAATTCTCGCCTGCACTCGACTCGTTGACTATGATTCCGCTCAGTATTTCTCACCGTATGTTCAGGCTGCCCGTTTTGGAGCCACCAGGCCCCTTGTGATCGTAGTAGTACGTGAAACTCAGAGTTGCGACACAGCTTCCAATCTCTCTCTCTCTCTCTGGCGTTAGGTGTCGTATAAGTTTGGATCGCAGTAAAGAGACCGTTTAGTAGATAAGGAGCGAGGAGTGAAGATTCAATGAAGCCGGTCAAGGCGAGAATCCTGATAAGGTGATGACCTGCCCCAAAGGGTCCGCTACACTTAGAACCAAGGAATGTTATTTCTACTCGTTTCATCAGGATAGAAGACCTGCACCCAAGAGCTACATTTTGAAGGTCCCTGGAGCGGTCGCCTTAGATACGGTTCAGTGCGTTTAAAGCATGTGTCTTGTGGTGAATAACCTTTCCAAACCTTTTGGCTTTAATTTGACCTTTCAATTGGCTGTTCATGGCTTCCCCTTTTCTCGCAACGTACCTTGACGATATTGAACAGCATTTCTGGCCATGGAACTCTGTATGCATGCAGTATTGTGGACATTGAAATCCGGTGGAATGACTGGGGCGGCGCCCTAACTGCGTTGGCTCATACACACACTATAGTTCACACGCACACTGTAAGAAAATGGACCAGCAGTGCTCACGACGGCTCCAAGGCCAGCGCCCCGTGGCCGCTTGACTTCTCGGCGGATTCCAATGTCCGTAAAAGTAACGTTACATCATCAAGGGCGTACCTGGTCCCACCCCCCCCCCCGTAATGTCCGTAAAAGTAACGTTACATCATGAGGGGCGTACCTCGTCCCCCCTTCAGGGTTTTTTCTTCTTTTTTTCTACAAAATCCACATATCTCCAGGCACCGGGGTGAATAATGGAGTGTGGTGATGGGGCCCATTAAGCTCTGCCGACCAGAGGTCTCGGCTTCATAGCTGCACGGCCGCATATGTGTAGGACGGCTGGCACATGTCATTCATGGTCATTATGTGCATGCTGGACCTAGGTCGGAATTTATTTTTGGGGGGGGGGGTGCATGTGCCCCCGGTGCCCCATGCGAGCTACGCGCCTGATCATTCTGTGTCAGAGTGTTGACGTAGTGCTCACCCCCCTGTCTGTGTACTTGCTGCCCCAGGGAACACGCCGATGGTGTACTACTTTCGCGTCAAGTTCTACACTCCGGACCCGAGCACGCTGAGCGAGGAGCTCACCAAGTACCAGTTCTTCCTGCAAGTCCGCCAGGACTTACTCAAGGGACGGTAAGAGCAGAGGGGCAGGCTGACTGGTTTAGGGTGCACGGACGGGGCAAGTGATCACGATTATCTTGTGAGAAAACTCTGTTTTACGAAATATTAATCGCTTCTCGATGGATCAGTCGGGGAAGCGAACTGCCTGAAAAGAGAAAAAAATGCCAGATCCACGAGGACACGAACCCGGGACCTTGCTTGTCATGAGCATTGCTCTGACTATCAGAGCTATGGGACCAGGCCGAACGTAGAAGGCGCTGACAAGTGTTTCACTCCAAAGTGTTGGGTCTGGAATTTTTTCTCTTTACAGGCAGTTCACTTCCCCGACTGATCGTTCCAAATTTGATTTTTTGCCATTCCTTTAAAAATATTGATCGCTTCTCAATGGGAGGTATTATCGCCAATGAGACTTGGTCCAGGGACTACGCATGTAGCGTTTGAAGGTGGTCAAAAGCATTTTTGTGGGAGATGAGATGCGTATCATGGTGATTCTAAGCGTGATGTGCTGATCACGAAAACAATTCAGGCCGAAAGGTTGGTCAGGCCATTGCCAGACCAACCTTTTGCCCACCAATGTGGGTTTACTGCTGAGGAGGTGACGTGTTGACCCTCCGTAACATAGACACAGCATGAAAGGCTAGGGTATGGCCGTAGCGATCAAAAACTGCTTTCGCTGGTCCTGAAATTATAATTGTTCCAAGGAAAAGCTGTAGATGCTATAGATGTTACAAATTGATGGGAAGACACATTAGAACCCCTGAATAGACCTGTCTGATGGTAGAAGGATTGCTGCGGCTACCAACCCGGAAAATACGGTAGCTGTATCTGTTCGGAATTATTTGGACAGAAATATGTCCTTGTCCACGGGGGCACTGGGGAAGTGGCAAGCTAATTTTTGTCCTTAAGAAAATGAGAATGCTGATGAACGTGACTAGTTTCTAGGAGATGCCGGTGTGCTGTTGGTGGTCAACTTCACAGTCTTCTTCGGCTTCTTGCTCGACTTCAACCGATGTTCACGAGTGAAACTGTGCTGCAAAGTTCAGATCCTTGCGCTGCGTTTGATGTAATTAATGTCTTTGAGAAAGTCACTGGTGAACTTAAAGCAGAGTGGGACACCGGTTATCTTCTCCGTACGGGATGGATGTACCGGTGATACGCTCAATCACTCATCAGCCAGCGTGCAGGGTTGGACCACCGTGCGGCTGCTCTGTCCAATATTGTCTCACTGAGGTATCAAGAGGCCCTGCCAGACATGTACAGTTCTGCTCAATGAAATCCTGATGAAGCGTGCCCCAGAATATCAATGAAAAAGTCGTCAAGTAGCCAGCTGAGCTCATTGGCCACGGGTTGATTCATCTTTGGAATGTCTTTGGGCATGGCGATTTCCCTGAAGGGCTGGTCTTTGAATATATCCCTTGTAGCTGTACAGATGACGTCCAGCCTGTTCTGTCGATGGCAACTGCAGAATGTTAAAGCTACGGTTAGAGGGAAGATATTCCTTTCTCTCTCTCTCTCTCTCTCTCTCTCTCTCTCTCTCTCTCTCTCTCTCTCTCTCTCTCTCTCTCTCTCTCTCTCTCTCTCTCTCTCTCTCTCTCTCTCTCTCTCTCTCTCTCTTTCTCTCTCCAATGCATCAGAAGAGGTGAAGAAGTTTGATGTCGAGGGTTGCTGAATACAGGTAGAGGTGCGTTGCTTCCAGCAAGCTAGCAACCTGGCACACAACAGACGTTCAGTAGTGAAGGTGCATCTTCCGGCATGGCCGATATATCTAGACAGGATGGGCATCGCACCGCTCCGAGAAGAGCACATAGCTGTCGACTACGGCAACTTCAACACAGTCAAAGAGAATCCTTCTTCCAGTACTTCTTGCATCGCCTCGAAACCCTGCAGGCTGCTGTGTGTTGGTCGAATTGATCAACGCCGCCCATACCTTGGTTATAATGGTCAATAACAGATGGCATCTGCACGTTCACAGAGCGTCTGAAGAGCGGTAGCGGTCACTGTCATCCTGGGCTTCGAGAGCAAAGAAATAGTCCAGCTCTGGTGCCTCGTCCAGCGTGAAAGCAAACTTGAAAATGGGTTTTTAGTACAGTAATCAGTTCAGAAAGTGCCCAGTTGGCGTTTCTAAGTGTTTGTATGTGCTTGCTGGCTGGTGTGTTTGCTGCGCAGGCTTGATGCATCGTCAAGTACACTTGCAGTGCTCGGAGCCTACATCGTACAGTGTGAGTAATATGACGATCATAATGATGTCGTCATGATGTTATCATGGTCATCGTCATGATGTCATTAGTATTGCCCGGCCCCTTACTGCCTGCTCTGCATTCTGCATATATCTCTGTGGCATGCATCTTGCGTCCGTGGATGTCAAATTTTACCTGTGTGAGTGTATGTGGTGTGTGTGTGTGTGTTGGTGTGTGTGTGTGTGTGTGTTTTTGGTAATTTGTTTGTGTTTGTCCAGCTGAGGTCGGTGACTTTGAGGACAGTTCTCACACGGACGGATACGTGTCTGAATTTCGCATGTTTGAGAGCCAGGTATGAATATTGCTACCACTTTTAACCCTTTCACTGCCGCTACTGCTTCTGCTTCTAATGCTGTTGCTGTTGTTGCTGGTGCTGCCGCTTCTAATGTTGCTTCTAATACTGCTTCAGCCTCGTTTTGGTGGTGGTGGTGGTGGTGATGCTGCTGCCACTGCTGCTGCTGGTGGCGGTAGCAACGCAGTGGTGTGTGTGTGTGTGTGTGTGTGTGAGGGAGAGAGGGGGGGGGGGGGGGGAGGCAGCAATGGTGAGTGTGTGTGGATGCGGGGTGTATGTGTCCATGTATGAGTGTTTGTGTTCGTGTTTGTGTGTGCGTAAACTCACACGCTCACGTCTGTCGATTGTTCTGTGCGTTCTGCTATCTGTGTGTCTGTCCATTTGCCCATAATGTTCCCGTACAGAATGAGGAGGACGAAGCTCGAGTTGGTGAGCAGCACAGTCAGATGGTGTAAGTATATCCGCCTCTCAACCTGTGTGACCATGGAGTCCGAGACGAAACGGACCTGAGAGAAACGCCCCCCCCCCCCCCTTACCCATTTCCTCCCACCCATTCACCCCATTTTCCCTTGCCCATTTCCCTACCCATTTCCCCTGCCCATTTCCCCCTGCCCATTTCACCTGCCCATTTCCCCCTGCCCAGTTCCCTGCAGTTTTTACTTGAGACTGTCGCAGCATGTTTTACTGTTCATATAAAAAGGAACTCGCCAACTATTGACGGGAGTGAGAGTGCTGTCCACCTCACCGCCTTCTTTTACTTCCACATCACGCCCCCTGATCTTTTACCATTCTTCCTCTCCTGCCCCTCCCCTCCCCTCCTTCCCTCACCGAATCTTCCCCTTCTCTTTATCCGTGTCTCCAGAGGCCTGACACCTGCTGACTGCGAGCGTTATTTCCTGGACCGGGCACAGCGTCTTCCACTCTACGGTGTTGAGATGCACGCTGCGGTGGTGAGTTAGCCATTGCACAATCTGCTCTTTATCTCACCGTCTTTGACCGCTTTGTGGCGGGTCTGATCTAACGCTTCTCACATCCCACCGCTTTACGAGCTGCATCTGCACATTGATCTATAGAGGGAGGTGGCGTTCCTACGGATGAAGAAAACTCGGTCTCAAGCCGAGTTTCACGCGAACCGTGATTTTCTAATGTCCTGGATTGCTCTCATAGTGTGTGGTCATCGTGCTCATGATAGCACAGTAGAGCTCCCCTTACTTGGGCAGGTCGCAAATGAACTCCCCCTACTTGGGCAGGTCGGGACTGAACTCCTCTTTACTTGGGCAAGTCTGGACTGAGCATTGCCCGTAACTAAGAATTGCCCCTAACTCGAACACACACACATATTGATGGCACGCAAGTAACTGTTTTTTTAGCCTATCAATATGCCTTGATCTTAAGAGGGTGGTGGCGTTTCTACGGATGCCGAACGTCCAGTCTAACTCGTATAAAGAGAACCGGGAAAAAATTCTTAGTACTGTTCCTTTTTCCGTTGAAAAGTCCAATTTTGCAACATGAAATGGGTCAGAAAGATGCCCGGTAGACTGGAGTGGCCGGATCTGGGAAGTCTGGATTTGGGGAGCTTCACTGCAAACCAAGGCTGATGATGTATTGGTATTACAATGATGATGTAATGGCAGTGTTGTGGTGAGGTAATGGGAGTGACTCATGTCGCTGCTATGATGACGTAATGGTGCAACTGTGATGATGTAATGGTACTGTTTTTGTGATGCATCGGGAGTTCGGGACTCCTCATATGATGTAACGCCAATATTCTGTCCCTGCGGGAATTTGCGGAAAAAACCCTCGAAAACTTGCGCAAGAAATTACGGCAGAAAGTAACAAAAAATGCGACGAAAAGTGCGGAATGATGCAGAACTTGCCAGGAATTTTCGGAATTATTTGCAGAAAATTGCGGATTTGGGCCAAATCACGAAATTTGTTGCATCGTATATCTACTCGGGAGTCGTACTGTGCAAATAACCTATAGGATCAATGATCCTATAGGTTATTTGCACATTGTTATGCACTTTTCACGCAGTTCTTTCCATGATCATCATGGAAAGAACTGCGTGAAAAGTGCATAACAATGTGAGATATACTGCAGAAAACAACAAAAAACGTGGGAAATAGCGGATTTTGCTGAAAATCGCGGGTTTGGGCCAAAATCGCAAAATTTGTGGCATCCGTGGAATCGCGATTTCCTGGAGGGACAGACTATGGTATTCCCATGATGATGTAATGGCACTTTGTGCTCTTGTGCTGCCCCTTCCTAGGATTCCGGTGATCGCGATTTGGACCTTGGCGTGAGCAGCACGGGGCTGAGCGTGTTCCAGAGCAACGAGAGAATCAACCACTTTCCATGGTGAGTTGGTCACGTGACCTGCATGAGTATCACATGACCTGCTAGGGTCACATGATTTTCTGGGGTCTTGCGATTTGCATGGGTGTCACGTGATTTGATGGGGTCTTGCGGTTTGCATGGATGTCACATGACCTGCTCGGGTCGAGCATGAAATTCTCTACTTGTATCTTCAGACAAAGCCTGATTTTCAAGGCCGACCAATGGCACAGAAGGGTGTTTGTATTGACTCCCACACTGTTCACGTTGACGCACACACACACACGCACACGCACACGCACACACACACACACACACACACACACACACACACACACACACATACACACACACATGCACACACACACATGCACACGCATACACACATGCACACGCATACATACGTACACGCACACACACCCACGCACACACACACACACGTACGCACACACATATGCACACGCACACACACAAACACACACGCATATGTACACGCACACACACACAGACACACTACTACTACTACTACTGTAGCTTGGTTGCCACAAGGGCCACACCACTCCGAAAGGAGCCAGAGTCATTGTCAGGAGCAGAAACGGAGATGACGACTCAGGTCACTCTGTCGACGGAACTGACGGCTGCAGCGAGAACAGCGAACACCATACGACGCTCTATCAGACTTGGTTGCTCGATGGCCACGGTCGCACTTGTGACGTCTGAAACCAGGCACTGACTTGAACTGCCGACTGCATGTCACACACAAGAGAGAAGCTGGGACGTTGAGCGGAATAGGTGATGCCGGCGCGGACGCTTCCGATGGTTCCAGGGGCAAACAATGATGTACACGCAAGCCACCACGAGAGTGAAACCACCTCCTGCATGTACCACACTGCACAGCACCACGCTGTCCCTGGATGGGGAGACTTCGTTCTGCGCTACACTTGTGTCTTGCTTTGTCACCTGGCCGACGAAACGAACGGTGGCAGATAAGACAGTCCACCCGTTGAGATTGGTCATGGGAAGGACCGCCGAGGCTCGGCCCAACGGCAGACACCCGCCAGGCAGATCGATCCTGAGCAATCCCATACCAAGCTAGATGTTCAATGCCGATGTGCCGAAGATCAGCCGAAATCACATCCCTCCAGCGACGACGGGGACCACACGCAGGCCGAGGCGACGGTAGGAAGCCAAACAACAGCTGCTTGGGCACACGAACATCCGACATGCGGGCCACATGGCCAAGCCATTCAAGCCTCCGCTTCCGAAGCCGGGAGGACAATAGCGATGTATCACCCCACATCTCTCGGAGCTGCTCATTGGTGATGCGTTCCTCCCGCTGTTGTGTTCGCGAAACACACAAGATGCTACGGATGCATTGGCGGTGGAAACTATCGAGGCGCCGGAGGTCACCCTGCAAAGGGCACCAGCACTCCGAAGCATACAGTAGCACTGTCATCACACAGGCGTTATACAATCGGCGCTTCACATGGAGTGAAAGATCACAGACACACACACACATGCACACGTTCACGCACACGTATGATACGGTTACAGCATGTTCAGGATTCATAACTTGGTATTTTCTTGTAATTTTTGTGGAGAGGGTGGAATGCCCGTCCGTATGCCATGATTGTTTGGTCGTCTTGATTTTAACCAGTGCGAGCCGAATGCCGTTGTCTCCTACGACGACATTATCGGTGTACGTATAGCGTACAGTCGCACATCACTTAGATACCGGGTATCTAATGGCATAAGTGTCCAACCTCGCTTGTGAAGTTGTCACATCCACATACCACTGTGCCCGGCACAACCCTCTCACGGTGTAGGCTCGGGAACAATACTGTACCCTCGTATCTTGCTACAATACTGTACCCTCGTATCTTGCTTGTTCGGGTGGTCCAGGACCAAGCACTACCCAAAACTTGGAATGTCAGTCACTCTGAATCACATACATTTCAATAGGGAAAAGCCAGAGATCTGGCATCATTATGCTGTTACCGGCCCGCATTAAAGTTGCGGCATACTGGTCGTCCTGGGAAGGCTGTGCTCGTTGAGTTGCTAGCGAAACCGGAGCCTGGAAGCTGTCGGTAGGGACGAAAAGGGCAGTGTCCGCTGGTAAAAATCGGATGTGTAGCATCACATGCCGGGCAGGCTGAACGAGCGCGTCCTGTTGTCGCCAGCTGCCACAGGTTTGGGTCGATGGCGTCCCACTTCAGTGACGGGTCGACAGCAGCCTTTATGTGGAAGTTCCTGTCATATTCCAACCACCCTTCAGGCGTGAATCGGCGATTAGCTAGTTGTGGATAGTGGCCGGGAAGCATTAACACATCTTTGGGTCTTTGTGGACGCGCAGGCGATGACCTTGTTGCAGTGCAGTCAAAACCTTCAGTGTACCCCGTTGTACCGGTTACATGGAAGGAATACGCTAATGCATCAATGTAATTCAGTTGCGACACAATCCTTTGATCATTTAGCTTGAAGGTGGATGAGGCCCTGGTAAGACAGCAACTCCGCCAACCTGTGCGGGGCCACGTCGACAATGACCTGGCTCAAGATCGTGAAGGCTTCCACCCATCTCGCAAGGTCATGAGCGTACCTGCTCTTGCCGCGGGCAGCGCCGTCTTCGACCACCCGCAATAGGCCCGCACGTTCTGTGTGCGGGCGTGCGGCACAGAGCAAGACGCAGAGAGTAAGAGCTCACTCAGTTCCACGTACTCACCCGTCACTATCCGCTCGCGATGTTTAGCTCCCAGGTGTGTGGCGAACGAATTGCTGCTCCCTGAGCTGGCTGGGAGAGGAGTCGGGTGTGTATGAAGTAGAGAATCTGGAACCATGGCCGCCAGAAGTGTTGGTAAAGTCTCCGACACCACCGATACTATCGTGGAGCAGATTGTGTCGAGAGTTATCACCGACGTCTGGGGCGCAGACGGCGCCAATGGCTAGCGTTCTCTGCTGCCTGCTCCGCTCGTCGGAATCAGCATGAAGTATTTGGGCCTGAATCAGGCGATCGTCGAGGGCAGATTTCCTGCCCGAAGTATCCAAACACAACAGTGGAAATTTGCTGCGGAGCCGTGGAACCGTCATGGCCCGAATTTCATGGACAGTAAAGGCAGCCATTGCTTCTTGACAACACGGATAAGAACGAGTCGAAGCACAAGGATGGCGACGAGCCAATAAAACTCACAAACTGTGAAACACAACGAGCAGACAAGAATGATCCACACACAGTACGGATCGAAATTTATAGCGAGGCGAGCTCTAGCAAGTCACGTCGAGCAAACGTCGAGCGAACAGAGCATAACGCCCCATGTTGAGCGGGACATGTAAATGCCATGGTGAATGCGACGACGCATGTCGCCCACACGTTGAATGTCACGTTCCAACGACACGTAGAGTGTCCCGTCGCCTAGAGCACCACGCGTGCACGCACAATGTTGTTTGGCTGACATGGTCACCGTGACGTGCAGTGCACACGACCGTAGACAAGCAAAGCATGAGCATACAGCAACAGCACTATCAAACATAGCAGCATAGCTTGAGCAGTAGCACGAAGCTGCGTGCACCCATTAATCTGCATTATCACATGACCAGTGCTCTGCGAAAACCGACCTTAGGTGCTATTTTGGCGAAATTGAGTTTGTGCTGGATTGTTGACCCATGACCCTTCCTTCAACTTCTGGTGAAGTTTTAGGTGGATTGCATACATATTTATGTGGATACAATGTCAATTTCTTTACTATCTCCATGCAAAAGTTTGTGGAAAAACACCAAAAACCCTGGGTTTTATGCTACATTTTGGAACCAATACTGTGAGAGTTCCAGCGGCATCACCGCAGCTAAACTTTGCAGAATAAATCAATATGACATATTCTTCCCAAAGAAGTGTTTACAATGACATTGGCTCTTCCTGTTGTGGAGCTGGGCAGGTCACATCTCTGTTCTCTGGATGGCAGTGGTCACGGATCTGCTGGAAGAGGTATTTGGCTCTTTGCAAGGAGATGCCAGCTGGAGTGATAGGTAGAGGCAGGTGCTGAGTAGTGAAGAAGTCAGGATCAATGCCGGGTTGAAGGATGTTGATAGTTTTGTCTGGCAGAGTAGACGAGCCAGACAAGAGGACATCACCAGGTGCTGCTGATGAAAACCGGAATCGCTGATATTTCGTGATGTTGGACACTGCCGTGAAGAACTCTCCCATGTAGCCGTCCCAGACTCGCCAATCCCAAGTAAACTGCACAGCTTCGTTGAAACCAACCGATGCGTCAACTGCTGCTGCTAGCTGGTCAAGTGTATCAACATCAGACTTCCTGTATTTCTGCTTCAGAAATCCAAAGCCCCCATCGACAAAACACCGTGTGTGTCCGACACGCGTAAACATGAGATCAATCTCATCGTTCAAACCAACAATAGTCCGCCAGCAAAGGTAAGCCATGACCGTGCGGTTCTTATTCTGACCACAGCAGTTGTCGCAATGCAAACCAAGTTCAGGCTTGCCCTTCTGATGCTGCGAGAGATGATAGTGCAGCATGGAGACGACAGCATTGGGGCCATGGCTCTTGCTTCCGTCTGGCCCAATTGACTGATTTTCATCAACAAGGTAGTTTGTTTGTTTTGGCAAACATTCTTCAGCGATACCAAATATCTGTATGCGCCTAGGTACCTTAAAATACAAGGCACCAACCTCCCGAGCATGATGAGGAATGGTCGCTTGCTGAGCAAAATCGAATGTCATGTGTTGGTAAGTCAGAGTGTTGTCTCCGGCATCCGTTGCAGCAGCTTGCTTGGAGTCGTCGATGCACTTCTTATACAAATCACGTGCGGTATTGGCCTCCTCCATATGCAATTTCAGCTCATTCGTTAGTTTTAATCTAGTTTCCTCCGTTCTTGCTCGTGCTAGTAGCGACTGCAGGTCTGCGCATCTGCCGCACACATCCTCCTTAGGTTTCATTTATATAACAATGTTCTGGCAGTCTCTCTTCCATATCTTCCCAAACGTGCTGTATGCAGCCTTGCCACCAGCCTTTGCATATTCCCGGTGAACAAGCTTCACCGTGGTGACGCACGGCAAATACGTCGGTGCAGGTTTGTTGCGACCACGAGGAGCTGCGGGTTGAGGAAGGCCATGAATAGTAGCATAGTGTTCAATAAACTGTTTGAGCTCCACAACATCTTCCACTGGCAGGGCATTCCATGGAAGAGTTCCCTCATTCCCTTGCTGTGGCGAGCTGATATCGTTTGCACTAACAGCAGCCTGCACCGATTTGAGAAAGCCAGGGCTTGATGCTGTGTGCAGACATGAACATCCCCTGGCACACTTCCACACCATCCACTTCATAGCAGTATGTGGAGCGTGATCTATCACCACGCTCAGTACGCTGGACCGCTGCTCCATGATGGCTAGCCTCGCCACGTCTCCTCAGCACATCTAGCTTCCCAGCCACATCCATGTAGCGTTCTGACTTCGTCACGGCCCCCGCTGAGTTGCGCACTGTACGCAGGGTTTCAAGTGTCACACTCTTGAAACAGTTCTTACCTGAACAGCTACAGCCCTTGTCAACCTTGTCGCGCACCTCCTGGACTGTAGTCAGTGCTTTGGCGGATTTTTTTGGGCTGCACTCGATTTACCGCCGGCATCGAGGGGCTGGGCTGGCGGTGGAGCTGACGCCTGATCAAAGTTTTCCTCTGCATCACTGTCTAGCTCGATCAGAGATGCGTCTCGCGATTCATCGTCTGACGTCTCCTCGGCACTACTGTCATCAGAACTGCGATCTGACAGGCCAAAAAACGACTGGTCATCGTCAAGGAGTGCGAAGGAGGCCTCTGCAGAGAAGCCAACAACAGTTTGAGCTAGCGATCGTCTTCTGCTTCGTTCCGCCATGACTCTCACCTTTCGATCTACAAAAAATCGACGGACCGTGACGTTTTGTTCATTTTCTCGAAAAAATTACGAAGCACCTAAGGTCGGTTTTCGCAGAGCGCGGGTCACATAATGCTACATAAAAAATTGGCAAAAGGGTACAGACCTCAAATATCCGGATGGGCGAGGGAACCGGATAATCGAACACACATACTGTATGTATGCATGACATATGCTGTAAATCGGAAGCCAACGATTTTCTTCCGGATGGCGAGGGATCCGGATAAAAGAGGACCAGATAAGCGAGGTCTGACTGTAGTAATATTTGCACTAGAGCTCTCCTACAATGTGTCCGGTAGACCGAGGTGCTCGTAACTTCGATATCTGGATAAGAGAGGCATGAGTGTACGTTCTTGGGATAATAATCATATGCAGCGCAGAATTCGAGACAGTGAGTTAAATCTTACCCATGCGCCTTCCACAGTACAGGTCCTCCCTCGTTAGTAGATAATCTCTGGGCCATCGAAAAAGTTATCTTATAGGGAGACTTATCTTGTAACAGGACTTGCAGCTAAAGGTGAAATTGGCACTAATTCGTACTTACCTTGTCTACCCTCGATACAGCATAAATTTTCGACGTTTCAACTCGTTAGGCCACACCGTTTTTATCTATGTTTCGCGTCCCCGCGCGCATGAATTTCACAGCTGGAGATTTTTAAAAAAGGAACAATTTTTTTGTTGAAAATGCAACACAAATTGCAAACCCAGAAAACCGGAAAATGTAACCCAAAAGGAAAAAAACGGAACATGATTGTTACCCGTAACTATCATGTTGGCATCAATTTTTGTTCTATTTATCGCATGATTGTACTCAGCCCACACACATGTACATGTACATGTACATGTGTGTGTAATAAGCTGGGCCACAAGTCACACAATCATCATGCCGCCTGTGTTTGGACCACAAGCATGGCAGAGGGGATACACTCATGTATTCATGTACATGTCCATTGTACATGTCAATGTACATGAACAGTGCCGCGTCGCTTCACTGTACACAAATGCAATGCACGTACACTGTTTTTTTGGATAGCTTTTTAATATTTTTTCGCCCTCCCTCATTGATTTCATCGAATAAGGTGACGCGAAACATAGAAAAAACGGCGTGGCCTTATAAGATAATCAAAAGTCTCCAACGTAGCTCTTCCTTGGATGCACAAGATCGTCCATATCTACGAATACATAGATATAATACGTTGCATATTCCTGCGTTATCTTACGTGTTTTGGCCTTGGTCATGCATGGTCAATATTATCTTATACTGAGGGTTTGGCACTCCGGGGACCTGGGCAAAGGGTCGCTATAACAAATTTTATGCAGTAACGAATTATGTTGTAACCGGACCTGTAAACAGGTGTATAGACCACGTGTCGCCAGGGGATTTCAGATTTCTATCGGGGTTTATGTACCAACCGGACTCGTTATAACGAGGGGGGACCTGTACTATGCATTCTGTTCATTGTAGCCACTGGTGTCGTTATGAGAAAACAAGAAGTGGTTGTGTGTTTGCATGGGTGTGCACGTCCGTGTGTGTGTGTGTGTGTGTGTGTGTGTGTGTGTGTGTGTGTGTGTGTGTGTGTGTGTGTGTGTGTGTGTGTGTGTGTGTGTGTGTGTGCGCGCGCGCGCGCGCGTGCGTGCGTGCGTGCGTGCGTGTGTGTATGTCTATTTGTGTACGCGTGTGTACGTGTTTGTGTGTCTGTGTGTATATGACTATGTACATGGTTATCCAGGGCATCCATGCATCGGATGACGTTCAAGAAGAGAATGTTCTTCATTCATCAGAGAGCAATAGAGGTTTGTTTCACTGGCAATCTCCTGGACTCGCGTATTGTGCTCGCGTACGCTGCCCGAGCGCTATGGTGCCGGTGCATGGTGCTCTCGTATTGTGCTAGAGTAGAGTGTTCACACATGGTGCTCGTGCTTGGTGCTCGTGCATGGTGCTCGTGCATGGTGCTCGTGCATGGTGCTCGTGCATGGTGCTCGTGCATGGTGCTCATGCATGGTGCTTGGTATCAAAAATGCAAAATACAAAATATTGGTGTTCGTGCGTGTCTGTGTGTATATGTGTGTCTGTGTGTGTGTATGTGTGTGTGTGTGTATATGTGTCTGTGTGTATATGTGTGTCTGTGTGTGTGTATGTGTGTGTGTGTGTATATGTGTCTGTGTGTATATGTGTGTCTGTGTGTATATGTGTCTGTGTGTATATGTGTGTCTGTGTGTGTGTATGTGTGTGTGTGTGTATATGTGTCTGTGTGTATATGTGTGTGTGTGTGTGTGTGTCTGTGTGTGTGTGTACGTGTACACATGGTGAATGCTGGTACGTAGGAGACGCTGGGCTCTCCGCAGGTGATCGGTTTCCGAATGCTCTCCTACCGTGCCGCCAAGAAGATCTGGAAATCGTGCGTGGCCAATCATACGTTCTTCCGTCACCAGAGCGAGCAGCCGAGAAAGCAGACCAGCAGTGGACTGTTCAGAGTTGGCTCCAGATACCGATACAGGTGAGACATGACGAAAATGACAGCGCCAGAAACTTGTGTTTGAATAGAGACCTCTTCTCTGGCAAAAGAAGAAGAAAATACGCTCTCGTCTTCTTCCTCTCCCATTGGCTACGCTAATGGCTTGTGTAGCACTGAGAGATGATGTGTATGACTCAACATTAGGAGTTGAATATGTATTGTGTACGACTCAACATTTCCTCTGGGAAAAGAAGAATAAAACACGCCTTCTCGTCTTCTTCCTCTCTCATTGGCTAAGCTGATGGCTTGTGTAGCATTGAGAGTTGATGTGCATGGCGACTCATCGCGTTAACCAGATAGGACAGTTATGCAGGTTTACAACCTGATAATCCCTGCATCAATAGTGAGGTTTTGCATTCCGAAATTCGGTTCGGCGTTCTTCGGTCATTTGTCGAACATCAAAATGCCGAATTTTCGCACCAACGTTTGTTTTGCAAGTCGAAAATGATGTGTTTTCATTTTGTGAGCCCCAGCATCAGCAATGTCCTGTCACGTGCTCCTTTCCTTGCTGATTCCAACGAACTTTGATCGCCCAAAGAGTCGAGGGCCAAACCTGCCTCCCCAGTCGCCTCAGAAAAACCAACTCCATGGCCAAGTCAAATTGTATGCGTATCGCCATAGTCTTTTCAGCCACACAGATGACGGTGAGGACACTCCAGGCGAAAGAGAGTAGATAGGCAGTGGAGAGGAGCAATCAGAGGTAGCTGACGATGCTGATGTTGCCAAAGACGGCGGCGAAGCGATGCCGAGATAAGAAACCTCTTTGAATGAATCACGCGCTAGCGCTCTTCTACAAGAAAATTCATCCGAAAAATATTTTCGGCAAAGTGAGCTTTTTCCGAACAAACATGCCGAATCTTCGTGTGCATTTTCGACCTCGCTCCCGCGTGCCGAATCTTTTTGCCGAATTTCGGAATGCAAAACCTCACTAATGTGTTACTGTCTGACTCCCATTATGTCAGCCATGCTGGCTCACACTCGGATCAAGTCTTCCACCAATGCGTCACAACTCCATTCAACTCCTGCATCTACGGGTCACATGATGTCGGTGGCCATGTTGGTCCCACTGTCCACATGCCATGTAGTACACTTTCTACATCGACATGACCAGAGTCACATGACCAGGGTCACATGACCAGAGTCACATGACCGGAGTCACATGACCAGGGTCACATGACCAGGGTCACATGACCAGAGTCACATGAAGTCTGTGGCCATGTGGGTTCCACTTTCCACGCCGACATGCAGTCACACATGTGGTGTGTCAGCGGTGGAAACTAGGTCACTGCACAATGGGCTCATGTTCTCGCACATCACTACATGTAGTATAGCACCGGCACTATGCACTGCTCTTATACTTCGAACACCCTGCACAGCAACGGCCTGCACCGCTTCTTTATAGGTTGGTCTGCACTTTGTAACTGTCTGTGTGTACTAGTATCTGCTGCTACATCCTTGTATATGTATGCTCTCCTGTGTGATCTGTTGACAGCGGCCGCACGCACTTCCAGACGATGGATCATGCCCGCAAGAGCGTACGCTACGATCACCACGTGAAGAGGTGAGCTGTCGTCGTGTAGCAAATACTTCAGGGCTCTAGCCGGGAAAAGATTCAGTGAAACCTTGTTAATGACAAGAGCCCTGATAGGACACACATTCGGTTCAAAACCTAGGGAGGACTCGGCCAACAGTGTATTCATTAGTCGGTGAAATTCAATGACTGGGTTTACCTGCCTGCCTCTCGTCCCCAGCACCCGGCTAGTCCTTTCACATGCATTCATTACCTATACTGCAGCTATACACCATAGCTCATTGGTTAGAGCATCGCTGGTCTCAAGCGAATGTCCCTGGTTCGGAGTCCTGGTGGTGACAGTCAATTTTTTCTTCACACTTTCCTGTTTGCATCTTTCCCTCGAATCAATATGTGGTCAGTAGCTCTTGATGATATTCAATGACCTTAGTCAAGTGCGACATGGGCACTGTGCACCCCAGACCTATGAGCACTGGGATGTACACACACGTGCAATTTCTTACTTAGGTGCAGATAGGTGGAATGCACTGCCACCGGCTTGCCGTACGCCTAGGTCACCAGCTGAATTTCGCGCTTCTATCAAAATGTTCCTAGGGTTCCCTGTAAAAAGGTGTCGCCGCCTGGTGGGAATTCCCTAGTAAAACCAGAATACATAATAATAATAAATAATAATAATACACTCTTGTTTGTTTTGTGTGCTTACTTGCAGAACGCCTAGCAAGCGCTTTGAAAGGAGAAAGAACTCGGCAGGTAGGTTCTAGAAGCTGGTGCCTACGTATGACACAGTACTGTCGGTCGCTGAAGAACGGGGAGGTCAGCCTCCTAGCCTAGACCGTTCTTATTTTTCATGTATTACAGTCTATGCACAGTTGAGTCACCGTGTATACATCGGTATGCTCTGCTTGATGAAACTCTAGGCTGCTCTTTCTTCGGCGCTCCGTTCTTCGGCATCCGATTCTACTGTAGGGGCAGAAACACATGCTTAAACTTTTCAGAGAAATCGTTAAGACGAGTAAAGCCAATTATTCGTAAACAGAGTGCACTAGTCCCTATGATCGAGCCGGCAAGTCGTCCAGGCGATATGTTATCCTTGTGAATTTGTTCTGCCAACCGTGTCGACCGTTTTCATTCTTGCTGATGGTGCTGACTGTTCTGTGTTGTGTGTTTACCTTTGCCACTGCAATATTCAGGGTATGTTCCCCACGAAGCATCGAGACGACGACAGCGCCAGGCTGAAATTGATAACTTGGCTCCTCGGGAAGTCCCAAAAATGTGAGTCGTGGGGGGCGGGGTTTAGCATGGTGGTGGTGGTGGGGGGGGGGGGGGAGAGATGCGATCTGGTTTGAAGTGACTTCAAAGGTTTGCGATGCTTGCAGATTCCCTATTTCCTGGACTCGAAACTCAGAGGGTGCATGTGTGTAGGGGGGGGGGGGGGGGAGCTGGGATCTGGGTACCGTAGTGACGCACATAAAGGCACATGCGCTTATGAGTGAGGTTTTGCGTTATTTGCTACTTTTGCGGGTCGTTTTGTCTCACACATAGGCGCATGCGCCTTGACTTGCTAGCGTACCGGTACCTTCCATAATTATGCACATAGTGCAATACCGCAATGCACATTGAACTATGTGAACATGGTGTTTTAGTGGTGTCTGTGTGTCGCGGATGGAATTGTATATACAAGTAGGTTGACTTATAAGCCCATGCGCTTATTTGTGAGGGTGTGCTTATTTGTGAGGGTGTGCTTATTTGTGAGGGTGTGCTTATTTGTGAGGGTGTGCTAATTTGTGAGGGTGTGCTTATTTGTGAGGGTGTGCTAATTTGTGAGGGTGTGCTTATTTGTGAGGGTGTGCTTATTTGTGAGGGTGTGCTTATTTGTGAGGGTGTGCTTATTTGTGAGGGTGTGCTTATTTGTGAGGGTGTGCTTATTTGTGAGGGTGTGCTAATTTGTGAGGGTGTGCTTATTTGTGAGGGTGTGCTTATTTGTGAGGGTGTGCTTATTTGTGAGGGTGTGCTTATTTGTGAGGGTGTGCTTATTTGTGAGGGTGTGCTTATTTGTGAGGGTGTGCTTATTTGTGAGGGTGTGCTTATTTGTGAGGGTGTGCTTATTTGTGAGGGTGTGCTTATTTGTGAGGGTGTGCTTTTGCCCGGGTGTAGGCACATGCTCTTTTATGCGCGTCACTACGATATGTGTCATCTGCATCCTACATTTCGAAGATCAACCTGACTGCTGTTTGTTGTGTTCTTTGTGGGCTATCTTGCAGGGTGGGAAATGAGATGGACAACGGAGGGATGAGGTAAGAGATTACATCATACTGTCAGGAGCTGGACTACTATTAAAATTCATGTTCACAATGTTAGCAGCTGCTGCGTTTACACTGCAGCTGCTATCCTTGGCTTGGAGTGCGAATACAGGCACTGGAATGCAGTAGTGAGCAGATGAAAGTTTTCTTGTGAATTTGTTTCTTCGAAATGGTGGCGTTTGGTGAACCTCATGTGTATTCTCTTTCTTAGTGTTTTAAGCCTATGATGCCAGCCTTCTCTATACTTCATTTCGCATACGGGACACACTTCGCAATGTGTATGCAATGGTTGGACGGTAGAGCCAATATGTAAATTATACAGTCATCGCCAAAAAAATCCGGCCAAATGCAGTGCTAGCTACCGGTAGCTGTACTGGGCCCCATGGGCCGCATGCACTGCTATCATAGTGGTAGTGGTACATGTAGTGCAGTTACTTCTCAGTTCACTGTTCACATGCTGACAGGCTAGGCCCGCATACACTCAGCACAGTGCTCAACCCGACTGCAGCAGGCAGAGTGCAGCGCAGACTGTTCAGTGCTGTCCAGTGCTGTCCAGTGGCCTCGTAGTGCATGCATGGTGCCACTCCAGTGCATGAACGTTCGAACCCGCGATGGAGTACCGCGTACCTACCATACCTATGTATTAAAGCGTATCTATGGCATTGGCCGGATTTTTTGGCGACGACTGTACGTTATGAACAGTTTCACCCCGATGAAAGATTTTGCGGACACCAGCCTCCTTGTGAAGGGCAAACGTTCTCCACTTGTTTCCCGGTTCTCGTCCAGCCTGTTCACCTGCTCTCCGTGTGTAACTGTTTTCCCTGTTTTGTCGATAGAACGGAAAAGCCGAGACCACCCGCATTGACCACGCCTGTTGAGGACTATGCAGAGCCTGAGAATACTGCTGCCGTGACTTATGTAAGTGAGACGCATTCTGAATTCTGCACTATCTGAACATGACGTGTTTGTTTGCTTTCACTTGAGGGAATGGAAAATGGGAAAATCTGAAGAAGAAATTGAGTTTCACCACCAGGACTCAAACTAGTGACCTTCCCTGAGGCTAGCTCTAACTACTGATCAGGTGTGCATAGTTAACCCTTTACCATCCGACCAAATTTCCCCAGCAGTCCCAAATGCAATAATTCTTACCTTATTCTGAGAATATCTTCGGTTCTAATCAACCAATTTTCACACTCTTAGGCATTCTGGAAAGCTCTCCACGAGCTGCGTACATTGAGCTCAAACAGGGCACTACCGAGATCACATATCCAGCGCCAGGGAGCTTCAAACACACCCCATCGCTGTATATACGAGGAAATCCTCTCCTCGTCAGCCATTTCTCGCTCCTTCATCGTAAACATTCCAAATGTTTTGCATGAGCTGATTGTAAAGTAACTGGTGGTGTTAGTGGATAAAATGGCGTGACTTGTAGCTCTTTGGTCCTCTTTTCTTCCAACTACTGAGCTATGCTTTCTAGGTTTGTTTTTATTTACTTCACCCGATACACCGGCATTTCTGCCTTCTCGTGTATTAACCATACCTCTAGACTCTCGATAAGAGATGAAGTATATGAGTATGAGAAGGCATGCGATATGAGGAAGATGATGTGAACATGCACCGATGATTTTTAACCCTTTTCACTGCCAGCTGACCACTCAAGGTGACAAGGCGCTCCCTGCCAGGTTGTCAGCTGAGCTATACACCCCCTGCTATACACTCCCTGCCAGGCTGTCAGCTGAGCTACACACACCCTCCCTGACAGGGACTTTTTACCTCCAGCTCTAAAATAGGTTTGATGATACGTGAAGAACAGTCACATGGTGATGCGGGAGGCGAACATCCAATATTAGAACATAAGGGTGCACTCAAGGGTTACACCCTCAGACAGGACATACAAAACTCCCACCGCTTTGGAGTGTTCATTTCGTCTCCACCGCGGAGATGAACAATCCTGTTAAACCGAAGCCTACTCACCCCCCCCCCCCACACACACACATGATGTGAAGTTCGCCGGTGGCAGACACTGCAGTTGTGTATGTTGTGATGCTCTGTGCTCGTGTTTGTGTCCATATTCTGTTTTTGTGTGTGTCTGCTTTTTTTCTCCAGCCGTCTGAATGTCTGACATCCGATGGTGATCTAATCATCACGTATGAAAGGACTGCTGTCCTTAGCTACTCTTGGCTGTGATTTCTTTAATCTCCTGTAGAAAGAATGTGTGCAATGCCACTCTCTCTCTCTCTCTCTCTCTCTCTCTCTCTCTCTCTCTCTCTCTCTCTCTCTCTCTCTCTCTCTCTCTCTCTCTCTTTCTCTCTTTCTCTCTTTCCCTCTCACTCACTCTCTCTCTCACTCACTCACTCACTCTCTCACTCTCTCTCTCACTCTCTCTCTCTCACTCTCTCTCTCTCTCTCTCTCTCTCTCTCTCTCTCTCTCTCTCTCTCTCTCTCTCTCTCTCTCTCTCTCTCTCTCTCTCTCTCTCTCTCTTTCACACACGCACACATTCATTCGCACACACTAGTTCTCAGAGGAGTCGGTGCCCCATAGTAACTCGCGTATTCTGCATCCTTGCCTCCATGCATGTGCTTCCGCGGAACCGCCTAAATTTTGAAAATGTACCGCAGGTGACTGTATGCATGTTGATGTACATGTATCAGCTATTCATTTTCGACTAAAATGGAACCCCCTGTAGAGATCGCTGGATTCGCCCCTGATGTGTGTGGCTATGCACATGGTGTGTATGTGTGTATGTGTGTTTGTTTCTGTGTTTGTAGGATGCAAGCTGACAGCCAGGGGAGATACGGATTTAACGTCAAGGGTGGATCTGACCAGAATCAGCCCGTCACCGTCTCCAGAATCAACGATGGCACGCCTGTAAGTGTCTTTGCTTGTGTGGTCGTGCTTTGCGTAGCTGCACGCGGGCATGTACAAGGGGAACGTAGCTGCAGTCGGTGGGATTTCGATCTTTGACCAATTTGGCGATGGGTCTGATCTGCTCGCCTCCCACAGCTTTAGGAGCTGCTTCTGAACCTTGATATTTTGAGGTCGGTGGTGTTCCAACGGAGCGAGGCTGGTAGTGGGACTGACACGAACTTCGAAAACCATTTTTTAAAGAACTCGTGCTTTATCGGTTGTGCTTGTGTGCGTGTTTCCTGCACAGGCTGCCAAGACAACTCCACCGTTGAATGTTGGAGACGAGCTGCTGAAGATAAACGACACGGATGTGAAAGAGCTCATCCATGATCATGTGAGTTGAACCTGTCCCTGTGTGTCCTCCTCAGCTTCGATGCCTCCTCCCCATATCTGTCCTCCTCCTCTTTCTCCTCTCCTTGTCCTCCTCCTCCTCCTTGACCTCCTCCTCCTTGTCCTCCTAATCCTTGTCATCCTCCTCATTTTCTTCGTCATTGTCCTTCTCCTCCTCATTGTCCTAATCATTGTCCTTCTCCTCCTTATCTTTGTCCTCCTCATCATTGTTCTTCTCCTCCTCAACTTTCTCCTCCACATCATTGTCCTCCTGATCATTGTCCTCCTGATCATTGTCCTTCTCCTCCTCCTCCT